CCCCAGCTTGGTATATTTTGAACACACACCCTTTTGCATAGGTCCAGTCCCTGTCCCTTTGTATCTGCTAACTATACAGATTTCTCTTACTCTCAGTTTCTCTATCTCTGTCTCTCCACTCTTGTCTTTGTCTCTACGATTGTCTATACAATCCAATATACGCTTTTACTTCACGTCTAAGCAATCCAAGTGAGTCCCCAAGCTTCCTCGAACAATACTAAAGCTCCCCAACGCCTACTGCCTTGGTGTGCCAACCTTCCCCAAACCTCCTTAAGCTCCCCAAGTGCTCCATGAGCCCAAGGACCTTGATCTAGCTAATGTCAAAGCTATCCTCTATGTTGAACTATGTATTGCTTCTCTGTTACTACCTCCAATGCTTGAGGATGTCCGCCTTTACCTCCACTTCCTGGGACCTCCCTCCTGGGCTTACACTCCATCGGGAGTTCTTACGTCCGGAAATCCCTACATCTACGATCTATCACAATCCTGTACTGTCAACCCTATCTACTACAACTCGTACTATGTAGCCGCCTGACGTTCCCTAGCTCCTAGCAACCTCTAGCAACCTCTAGCCCCGTTAACGTCCTAGGGACCTCCCAGGACCTCCTAGGAACCTCTTCAAAGGTCAATCCTTTCAATCTGAACTACTCGTAGGTCATTCCCATCCTCGGTCGCAGTTCCCGTAGCTCCCTTCGAGCCCCAGCTTGCTCTTAGCACGCTACAATGTAAATCCCTTATACCAAAACCTACCCAAGACCTATTCTGACCCAGGTCTTACATTGAGCAAGATGAATTCAAACGAGCACAGTTCAACTTAGCATATTCACGCTTATATCATGCTGCACAACTTGTCTTTGTAGATAAGAGCTCATTTGATAGACAGACAGTGGTTGGGCTGTTCATGGAAGATGGGTTTACAAAACCACTTTCTTTATGTGAGATCGCTGGTACATTCTTTATTACTTTGTAGCTGTTCATTGTACTGAACTCTACTCTTTAGCTACTCCCTTCTCCCTGCACTTTCTATCCAAGGGATACTCTATGCAAAAGTTGTTGAAGGATTTCACCACCCTCGAATTTTATGATTTTATCTCAGCTCTTTTGACCTGCATGCAACCATTTCCTGCCCCCAACTCAGTCATTGTCATGGACAATGCCCGCATTCATAAGAATCCTTGTGTCCTTGATCTCATTGCATCATGGTATGTTTTTGGTACACTTATTTATATAAATCCATACCCATTACAATTATAGTGGAATGTGCTACTTCTTCCTTCTACCATACTCTCCTGACTACAATCCAATTGAGCTTGGGTTTTCTGCAATCAAGGCTCATGTTCAGCAAAGTGGAGAACTCGCTTGAGAAGACCTCAATCCAGATGCTAATGATCAGTATGTATATACACATTTAATTCAGACTACATATCACATAACGAGCAATGATGCACAAGGGTTTTTTAATTATTGTGGGTATATAGATGAATAAAAGTATTTATCTAGTACAAATTTGTTTAGTTGATCCTAGATCATCTTTAGCCCAGCCAATAAGATGGTTTGCAAATCTGTATTCCATCCTTGTCAATTCTTTCAATGTCTCTTCATTCAGTCCAGACAAATCCTTCAGGTCAAACAAACCACGGGCCTTGAGAATATTGATGTATTGTGTATAATTACCATTATGTTTCCCTCGCTCTGCATCTGCGTCAACTTTTGGCAGCCAAATATTGTCACAAAGGGCAGCAGCAGAGTGACTAAACAGAGCAGGGAGGTGGAGCGACTGAGCAGAGTGGTAATGCGGAGCGACTAAGCGGAGCAGAGATGGACTGGGCTCAAGAAAATGACAGAGATATATTGAGTATCGTAGTCATAGGTAATAATAAGTGACACATACCTGGTCCCAAGATAATGACAGAGAGGTCAAGATAAGGGACCAGGCTGCGGGGGTTTGGCTATTTATACATAATCCGATCTGCGAGAAATGACGATGTAATACTGTTGTCATGCCCTGACCACAACCAGGCCCGCCACAGCACCAACCATACGTTCCCCTACCTCTTACCTAGCTCTGCTCCCCCTTAAGACAGTACCACCATCCCCCTGGAACCTTCCCACCTCCCCATTTCCTGAATGTCCGACAACTTTCCTGACACGCGTAGCTCCCCCGACACGCCTACGGACCTCCTACAATCAACTCCATTAAGTAGCAATCTCGATTACTTGCCTCATGTCCGTTAGATCCCCTGATGTTCCCTTGTTCACTTCCCGTACCTATTTAAGTAGTTCCGCAATGTCCCCAAGCCCCAGCTTGGTATATTTTGAACACACACCCTTTACATAGGTCCAGTCCCTGTCCCTTTGTACCTGCTAACTATATGGATTTATCTTACTCTCTGTTTCTCCATCTCAATTTCTCTCTACTCTTGTCTACTGTCTCTACGATTGTCTATACGATCCAATACACGCTTTTACTTCACGTCTAAGAGATCCGAGTGAGTCTCCAAGCTCCCTCGAACAATACTAAAGCTCCCCAACGCCTAATGCCTTGGTGAGCTAACCTCCCCAAGCTCCCCAATTGCTCCATAAGCTCTGGGACCTCAATCTAGGTAACGTCGAACTACGTGCCGCTTCTCCGTTACCACCTCCAACACTCGAGGACGTCCACCTCTAAACCCCAGTTCCCGGGACCTCCCCTCCCGGGCGTATATCTTCTCAGGAGCTTACGCACTCAAGACTCAGTCCCTCTATGACCTATTCGATCTCACGTTGACGTTCTAGCGAGTACAACTCCTTCTACGCAACGCTACTAGGTCCTGTATCTCTATCTTCTCTACCTACGCCTTAGGGACCTCCCTGGACCTTACAGGAACCCCTTCAAGGGTCATATCTCTCTATCCCAGCCCCTACTAGGTCATTCCTGTCCTCAGTCGCGGTTTCCATAGCTCCCTTCGAGCTCCAGCCTGCTCCTAGCACACTACAACATAAACTCCTTATACCAAAACCTACCCTAAGACCTACTCTGACCCAGGTCTTACAACTGTAAGTAGAAGGAGAAGGATAACAGGTGGATTGGTAATCAATAATGGGGGTCAGGAGTCTGGAGGTTTGACAAGCAGACTGAGGATGGCTAAGAGTCCGAATGGTTCGAGATTTGTCCCCAGGCATGCTACCCTTATGACGAGTGAATGGAGCATGAAGTTCTGACATTGGATGAGTACACGCTGGAGTTGCCTGACTTTTGGATGGAGAGACTCTGGAAAATAACATCATCAGTCTAGTGGCAGCAGTATCATCAATTTCAGCACCTGAATTGCTGTGACATGCATTGTCGTAAGCTGGTATGCCCCTGTGGTAAGGTCTTGGAGTGGGGCAAGGTGGTCGAAGGGAAGCATTGGGAGTGAGTGCTTCACCACTGCTCAGTTGATCCTCTTCTATTTCCTGAGTTGGATTTTTGTTCTTGCGGCATACAGACTGCTTGCTTCTAGAATTATTCTTATTGCCCATGAAGACAGTGAAAAGAGAAACAGCAAGGATCATTATGAGTTGCCTAATAGTTCAGGGTCATTTTCCGGCCATACGTGAAATTCCTCAACTTCTACTGCCTGGGTCACACCATTCAAGATAAGACTAAGGGGCGTTCTGAGGATACCTTATGGCTTGTGAACACACTAAAAGTTACAGTAATTGGTGGAGAATTGAGCTCGATATCTGTGTTTTTGTTTGGCACCATTTCATAGCTGAGATTTGTAAAATTATATATTCTTGAAAAAATAACCATGGGGCGTTCTGAGCATATACTACAGCTTATCAACACACTAAATTTTACAGTAATTGGTAGAGGAATGAGTGAGATATTGATGTTTTTGTTCGATATTGTTTTGAAGCCAAAAAGTAAAGTGTGTGACCAAGGTGCCAACTTTTGTGAAAACAGCAATAACAAGTATTCACTGTTTGTCCTGCAAGTCGCAGATGCTGTTGGAGCAATCCAGGACAAAAACAAGGTGGTGAGAGAGATGGAGTATAAGAACTATGAGCTTGCTTTAAAGAGGGACAAACGAGAGGAAAAAGTAAAACAGGAAGAGCTGAAGCTGGCAGTTGCACAGCAAAGGAACGTCGAATGGGAACGTGCAACTAAGATGATGGAATCACCTATTGCAAAGATTTGACAGATGGGGGAAGCACTCGCAGAAAGGCTATGTTCTGAGGAGGGCTTGTAATGGATATGAGCTGAAATTATCTTCAAAATTTTGTTCTCGGATTGATATAATAACAATTGGCTTAATGCAGTTAAACCATTGAATATTTATCCATAAGTAATTTACGACAAAGAAGGCCAGTGCGATAGAAGTCATCCCCTTCAAGATCAGTATCTCGTTCTGCAACCTCAACAGTAGAATCAGTGACTTCTTGCTCTCCACCGCTGCCTGTGAAACCAGTGATTGTATAAGGATCATCTCCGATTACCTCAAGTATATTATGGACAATCATTAATGACTCAATAATCTTATAGGCCTCGCCCAAGTGACGGCTGGGAATGCAGCGTAGTATAGGGAATCGGCCTTTTAGACGACCGAATTCATGCTCAACAAAAATGTGCATGCAAGAGAGCTGACAGTTCCACTTTTTGCGGCGACGTGCTTCAACTGGATTCGATGTGAGATCATAGTCATTGAATGGGCGGATTGTAAACTTTGTCAATGGATATCCTGCAGTACGGGAGCTTCAGTTGAGGAATGAGGCAGAGGACTATATTGACGAACCTTTATCAACCAATATGTATTCATGTGCACAAAAATATTTCTCGCAGTGCAACCATAAATGTGAATTTCGAAAAACCCGACTGTCCTGAACAGAACCTGGCCATCCCAGTTCATGCGATGTGAACACGCCACGATGATCAACTATTTGAGACATAAGAAATGAGCCAAGAACGAATCAACAATCACTCACTGCGTAAAACTTTTTCCTACACCAATATGCATATGGGTTGACAAGTGGTTGGTTCATGAGTCTGAACCATCTGTTGTCCCGAGACAGCCTGGAAATCCTTGCTCAGCAAACTTCTCGGAAATGAAGTGTCTTCGAGCTTCTCCAGGCCATGCAAGGTAATTGGACCATAAATGATGTATTGCACCAATGACATGCTGTACATAGTTGTATACAGATCCCTCAGCAACTGCCATTACACTAGCTGTCTTCAACGCCGTTTCAGCCCCAACTCTGCATAGGAATGTGGCCAGCTGATAGTGGACAGGGCGTTGAGGACGATTCGCTGTGGATTGGAAAGCTGCATCAGCAGCAATAAGGTCATGCAGGTGCCAGAAGGCATCACGACCCATTCTGAAACAATATTTAGTGAAAATTTTAGCCTTACATTAACACTCACCGTAGCCATGCTTTAAACCAGCGAACAGGGAATGAATGAAGCAATAATCAAAGAATTCTTTGCATTTCTTCCAACTATAAGATCCACGACTGCCATATCTTGAGCTACATTGAGCATCCTTATCTTTGGAAAGTGCTATCTTCAAAATAGCAAGAGCTACGAGTTCTTCTTTGCTGTTGTTGGCATCACTGAGCAATAAAATGGCAAGAGTTTCGAGGTCAGCAGCTGCACGAGCAAGATGTTCCAGAGATCTACGTGGCTGTCGGCGGCGGCAGCGTGCCATAGATGATCATTAGAGGTAGAACACGTTTGTCGATAAGTGGCACTTCGCTCAGCTCAATGGCTTACGGATCCGATTGATGGATTTCCCAAATGGGCTTGCGGCATGCTAGCCAATATTAGTCTCGAAATTTCACTCAAAAAAAAACTCTTAATTGAGTTGGACTAACCGTACAAGCAAAGGCGTCGAAACGGTGAGAAAAGGAAAATGATAGGGGCTGCGTACTTCATGACAACACATATGTTTTCTAACTAAAGTATGCATAGATGTTGCAGTACTGATATGGCTGAAATCAGTTTTGAGCCAATTACCATTCTGCTAATGGCAAGTTGTGTCAAGCTTTCCATCCTTTGTATATGTATCATTGCTTTTTCATTCAAATGTGCTTCATGTCAATTGTTACAATGTTTGCATGCTCCATCCTGTCTCTTTTCAATGTCACCACCCAATTTCAGCTCTTCTATAAGTGGTAGCACTCTTACTCCTACTTCTGACCATGCCATCACTGCTTGCCCAAAATCCACAATGTCTTTTAACTCAACAGTTTTGAATATGTATTTGTATGCCGGTGCACACATGTAGCTGCATACTGTGTCAATGCTGTGGATCTGTTTCCTAACATCTCACATATTAACAACCAGTTTTTGATCAGTATGTCTATCACCATTGGTTGCTTGCTTATGACTGTATTCATGGCTCATCTCCCAAATTGTGTTTGTTTCCTTTATCGGAGAAACTTCAGTGAATGTTGTCAATCATTGCACTTCAACAACACTATACTCATTCTCCTTTTCTTCGTATCTACTGAACCTTTCTATATTTCATAACACTTGTTTTCACCTGGAACTAGCTTGTCATTGTTTCTTTTTACTCCTTATACAGCTTTTTCCCCCTTGATCTCGGTGTCCTGGGTTGCTCTCATCAACTGATCATATTCTTCACTTGTCTTCCTCTGTATTTTGATTCATTTACAGCTCTTGCTAATTACCTTATGAGTCAACAAAATTGTTTTGACATAAAAAAACATACATCATGCAAGGTTCATCATGCCCCGCTGGTGTTAATATATTAACAATCTAGAATCCATGTTTATTCCAACTTACAAAAGTTGTCAAGTATCTGCGTTACAAGTATCACGTCTCTTGAACAAACTACACCACTATGTCATGGTACAAAATCAGTCAAGTTTTAGATTTTCCGGAATTATAAACAAACAATAGGCACTGACACCTAGCAAGCAGTTACACAGAGAGAAAGAGAAAAAAAAAGTATCAAGAATTGCAGAACTGTCCTTGAGCCAATGGGGAATGTAGTCAAATCCTTTTCACAAAAGCAGCAACATAGCAAGAAACAGCAGATACATGTACATGAATAGGAGGGTCGTTAATTTTCATCACGCTCATGACGCGATTCTGAAACAGAGCTCATTGGCGGAGAAACTGGGGAGGCCTGTTCACTTGGGGGTGAGCGTTTTGAAATTAGTGGGGACCCTCGGTCCTGCAAAGGTCTAGACAATGATTTTTTGTGATCCTTGTCTCTCTTCAATTCGTGTTGAATACCATTAGATGTTGGAGCGGCAACCAAGCTCAGGGGAGCTAGTGGATGAGAATGAGAGTAAGTGAGGTGAATCGGAGGAAGTGTATTATGCCTATGCATCGTAGGTGATTCTTGAGGATGCGAACCATAACCGGTGGACTGGCTATGCATCAATGGCGATGGTAGGGAACGAGGTACAGGTGGAGAACGAGTGTGTAACTTTATAGAAGCACGTGGACCAAGTTTATTCGGGAGCTGTGCAGGGCGAGGCCTAGAATGTGTGCGCTCAAAGAGGCCACATTTATTACATAGCTAGAAGCAATGGATGGTCATCAGTTTTCCTGCATGGATTATCATGGATTGTCAAATTCACAGTAACATACCAATTTTCCCGGACTGAGTTTACTTCTCCTCCAGGTACATGTGCCAGTAGTACGGCAATTGAAGCACCTTCTCTGCACAAGATCGCTCAATTTTGTGGCCGCATCCTCGGTATATACCACAGGGAAATCGTTGTTTACAGGACCGCCGGGGTCTGGCATACCAGGCATTTGTAGACCGTACCGCTCACGTCCAGATGGCATACTATTCAAACCCCGAACGGTCATACCCATTACACCCAAGGGCTGAGACGTGTTGGGTACAGGATAAGATCCTTTATGTGAATCATACCCTTTGTAATGACGATGATGATGGACTAGTGGAGGGTGAGGAGGTTGAGGATGCGAATTGTAATATTGTGGCGCCGCATTAGAATGGGGCGATGAACGTCTGATTGGAGGAGTGGAAACAAAAGAGCGATCCAAAGAAGAAACCGACGTTGTAGGCAAATTTTTAGATGACAAAGTAGCGATGAGCGGCGCGTTGGGTGGTGACGGATGGCTTTCGAGGTGCCGGGGGCTGGTGAGGACATGTAAACTCTTTCAAACTTTTTGAGAAAAAACACATATGACGACATAGGATAAGGCTCAAAGCCGTGGTGAGGCATAAATCTTAGTTCGCGTTGAAGATATTCTATAAGAACAACTCGTCAGTGTCGCAATTACAAGATGCATCACTGACATTGATACTTTTCCCGACTTCTACGCAGATCTTCATTAAACGTTTGATGATGCTGATGGACAAAGAAAACGGCTCAATCAAAACCGCCGTTCGTCTAGAAGTGCGATTGAGAAGAATTGAGACTAACGGAAAAGATCATGAAGGTCACATTGAATAACGGACACTGCATTACATCAGGTCACATCTCGGAACGATTCCATCGACCCGACAGATCCACGCGCTCTGGAGAACGAGCGGGCAATCGACGGCATTTAGATTTGCTTCCCAATTCTTCGTTGACCAGAGAGTGCGTGTGGGATGAGAAAGGGAAAGGCCAGAGAGTGAGAGGGAAAGGCCAGAGAGTGAGAGGGAAAGGCCAGAGAGTGAGAGGGAAAGGCCAGAGAGTGAGAGGGAAAGGCCAGAGAGGGAAAGGAAAAGGTCAGAGAGGGAAGGTCAGAGGAGACCGGGACTAATACAACTCACAAACTGATTGGCATTATGATGTGTGTAAAGAGTATCAAGAGTAGAATACCAAGGAGAATAAAAGAGGTTACAAAACAAAAAAAAACAGCCAGATATCTGCGGACTACAGTCCCGCCTAAGGACAATTGAAATCCTAACATCCTTCCAATAGGTCAATGATTGCTCATGTTGCCCATGACCCACAGCTACACCACCCCACACAGACAGGTACTACCAGGACCCCGGAAGCTCCTACCAGACCCTATCCGAATTAGCGTACTTCAGGCTACCTCCCAGAACTGTTTCACGGGCACGTTGGTTCCTCTGCTCCTCCTAAATAACTTCCCACAAGCTACCCGCTGATAAGGACACTGAATCTGCACTTCGCAACTAATTTCGCGGTAGGGCATGGAGATTACAACATACGGATGAAGCTTCTATCATTCTTTGTGCACCTTCTTCCGTCTCTTTGCTAGACCCTGTGATGGTTCAAGAGGATTTTGAGCTTGTCTTCGACCTTTGGGCCGCTGAGTGACAACCTTCTTCGCGAGTGCTGAGACTGAGATTGCTTTACCGTCGGACTCATATTTGCTTAAGAATGAATCTATCGAAGAGTGTTTTTTCAGTTTGTCCATGAGAGTCTACAAAGAATGTGAATATAAAACAGACAGAAGAAGCAGAGCTGGACCTTATGGAACCACCACTGTTGGACAGTAGAGTGTTTCCAGGGGTCAATTACCCATGGTCCCCAGTACTGCATCGCGATCGGGTGGTCTTTGATACGGCATCGGCATAACGTTGGATTCCAGTGAGGAGTCCTGTCACTCCATACAGCCCTAAGCTTTTCTAGATATTCTCTGGTGGTCATCCCAAGCCATTTCTCTTCAGGTGGATAGGATCGATCAGCATCAGTAAATCTGAGAAGGTGCCCATTTCCAAGCTGAAGTTTGTGCTCAGACATGAGGTCATCTTGAGGAGCAAGGGGTTCCGGTACAGTGGGATGCGAAAAACGCGAGAGACTCAGACATGCTTCAGATTGAGTAAGCCTTGCATGGGTAGGTGAAGTAAAAGGTGTAGAAGAAGCGAAATGATCGGGTGGCAGGTACGACGGGGGAGGAGGAGGAAGTAGATGTGTTGGGTGCAGTTGAAAAAAAGGAAAAAGCTGGTTTGGGTCTGGTGGGTGAAAAGGAGGAAGATGCCTTGGGTATGGTGGAGAAAAAGGAGGAAAATGCGTCAGGGACATCTGAGAAGCGAGAGGATGATAGAAAGGAGGAGCAGGAGAGTGTTGATATGGCGGATGGTAGTGGCAGAAGTTAAAGACAGGGGTAACGGCCGGATTTCCTGAGGGCTGTATGCAGTCTCGGGATTGACTTAACGCATTCGAAAACGCTTGCATGTTTAACAACATCTGCGATTGCACGCTGCGTATCTCACGAATAATGGATTCGTTAGAAGGTGTTTCGTGTGTTTCGTCAGGCAGAGACGGAGAGATCTTGCTGCAATGCGAGGGCACTGTTATTTGTAAGACTTTAATTTATGCCTGAGGACAGCACTGAATCGCTTACATGCTTGAGGGACTATCTCAATGGCAGCACATGAAGTACTCGGTCGCAGTCTTGCTGGCTTGTAACACGGCATCCCGACAAGATAACGGTCTTCTTCATAAGCGTTATACTCCTCGACACGCAGAAGCTAGGATATTGTAAGGGCCACGCTTTTCCTACATGATGAACTCACCCAATTTTCAACATCTTGAGATGAGACGCTCGAGATTTGGAGTTCTCTTTCGCGGTTCTTCCGGGATCGGACCATGGCTTAAGGAGCCGCTGCAGGATCCATGAAGTGCACCATTATATACCTTCATGACGATGATTAATTTTACCAAAGCGGAGCTATAGCAAACTTCAACCCATATCCAACCTTCTGAAGCAAGACATCGGCACCCACAAACATACAAGATAAATATCTCAGGAAGCAGTTTCAAAGATGCTTGTACCACCTTGTGGCCACCTGTGGCCTGCAACATGTTTAGATCAATTAAGCACGTATACTACCTTAGATATCCCTGTTGACTCGTGCAAGATGTCATTAAACTCCTAAGAAGACGTGGATAATTGAGTTGATGACAGGGCCTAGATGAAAAGTCTATACGGTGAGCTTGGAGAAAGGCCATGAACTCGTAAGAAACCTCGTAACAGACGTAAAGTAACGCGGATAAGACCATCAGTATTTGATGTCCAAAAAGACAGAACTGCGCTGCTTGAAGGCTAGATGAGATGGAAGTCGCGCGCCGCAGTTGGAGATCCTAGCACAGAAACCACAAGTAAATTCTTGAATCGAGAGCTGGGAGGAAGAATGTCAAAAGTCGGGAAATCGGCGCTCAGGGAGGCTAAGGGCCATGGCCGAAAGGTTAAAAAGGTCTTTGAAAACGGCACAAGAATGGAAGGCAGAATTTGGTGAAGACTCGGTGGACATACAAATAACGTTGCCAAGGTCCGTGTTCACATTTTTAACTGGATTTTCAGATATTTTTGCGAAGGTCGCGTTCATGAATGACAAATTTAGGTTCTGAAATTTCTGCGTTACTCGAAGATATCACGGTCTAACGAGTAACTCTTTAAGTTCGACCGCGAGACACAGTCGTCACTGCCAGCGGGAAACATACGAAGAATACAGTTCCTACAGTTGCCCGTTTGGGTTCGAAGATAGAGGATGGCGATAGAAGGTTCAAAGTAAATGTGTACTATTCCCATGAATCCCGATTTGTGATAAGATAAGTATTCGCTCGCTCGTGATGACCCCCCTGATGGCCATGGATTAGACCTGAGAACAACCTTGTGTAATTCCCCTTGGGTCCGAGCTCATCATCGAGGTGTGCCGTCTGTGAGTCGGGCTGCGTGCCTAGAGCCCTCACTAAATGATCTCATCCAAATGCCTGCAATTGCGAGTATTTTGATCCCCCTCGTGGATCATTGCCCGAAAGTCGAGGAGAATCTTTCCGAAATAACGAGGAACGAGAGCGGTGAACGTGGGCATGGCATCGACAGAAAATGGCTCAGAAATTGTGGCAGTATGCGAGGAAGCAACTTGAAAGAAAGATATACGGCGTTCAATTCGGACACTAAGTGGAAAGAATGATGCATTGTTGCCAGTCGGATTAGTCCAGAACGAGGGGCATAAGGTATTCCGTGTCCGTCAGCATCTTAATTAAGATGAAGGTGTTGTGCGTGGTCGATAAATAGCATTACGATGATCACAGCGTTCCAGACTGGAGGGACCGAAATCTATATACCGCGGCGGCCAATTATAAATATTCGTCCTGGGCAACTTCGCATAGCTTAGGTTGCTTTTGACAGGAACGATTGGTCAAATTGGAACCCGTTCGCCCTCCATCGAGATAGACCGCCAGATGAATATTGAAATATAGCGAAGCGAGTTTCCCCCTTTTGAATTGGAACAGTTGAATGAGTGACGAGCGTCGAAGGGAATAGGATGGTGGAACCTGGTGAGAAGCGAATTGCAAGACGGAGCTCCCAGAGCACTAGATGACCGCCTACGCCGGGGTCGTACTTGGCAAGGGGAGTGTCGGCGCACCAGCCGTGAACAGTGTTGTCAGGGTCTTGGTGAGGCGGAGAGAACAATTGCGTGCCCGCATCGATAGTTAACGCCGCATACGGGATGCCAGGAAAGTTCGCTCAAAAAGTTGCTCGTTGGTGAATTGGTACTTCACGCAAGTTTTGGGCGAACAAGAGTTAAACAGAGCTGCAAATATATTAAGCAACATGATACCTCAGAGGCCAGGAATACGCACATTACTGGAGGAACGTTGGAAGGGTAAGCGCTGGGTTTGAGGGAAGTGATAGACGGTGAAGAGGGGGCAGAACGAACAGTAGACTGTTCTTCGGTGTCCTCAAATTCAATCCCCCCGTCCTCCGAAACAAGAGCCAGATCCTCTACCTTTACTCGGGCCCTGTTGTCACCCTTCAATGCGGCACCGAGATCGAGATGGTCGAATTTAAGAACCGCGTAGTAGAAGTCAAAGAACCCAAACCACGTTAGCGCCCGAACGGATTCGACTAAAAACTCCAAAATGAACGCGTGGATCAAGTCGAGTTAAGTCCGTTCACGCGTCTGGCCTGTGGAGGGGCTTGACGGCGTGAATGTTCTCCCCAGGAACGAAGCCAACGCGAGCAAATTGAGATATCTTCGCGGGAGACGCCTGCCGGACTCCTGGCCTTTAGAGGCTTAGAGAGGCGAGTCTCCCTACTAAGATCCCTAGTTGAGGAGGAAAGTGAATATCATTTACCAGCCAAACTTCCTGTATCCATTTACCGTAAATATTGAGGGACTGTTGGCTACAAGAAGAAGAATAAGAGGCGTTAACGCCTGTGAAGAAACGGAGTCACATGCTTAAATGGCACCAAAACGCGCGGTTAATTTCCCTAAGGTCAAGCAAGAAAGCTTCGGAAATTGTAGCAGTAAACACACCGGAAAGAGAAAATGGAAACACAAGGCACGATAAGCGCCATGTACTACGGACAATATCTACTACCAAAAAAAGGTTCAATAAGAGTACGACAGAAGAGGAAGCCTGAAACCAGAGACTGAGGGTGACGGTATATCAATGAAATGAGATGCATAAAAGGGCGTAAGAAAGCAAGAACAAAGAAAGCAGCAAATTGCGTTGGAAGAGCTTAGCAGGTAAAGTGACAAGATATACGTGCGGGTGCCCTGGCCGCACCCCTAGGATTGATTGACATCCTCGTTGTCATATTCCGTGTCCTTTTCCTCCCCAATCCTTCTGATTCCTATGTCACGCCGTTTCCTTCTCGTTCCAGGGGCTGATTTGTTTCCTCCGTTTTCAGTGCTGAGGCGCTCCCTTGCCCTGAACACCCAACTTGAGGAGTGTCCGATTAGAATATTGCGTTCATCAGCATGAATTTTGCGGCCCTATCAGGAGTTTTATGAAAGCCCATGTGATAATTATAATTCGGACAGTACTGACCAGGTATAACACCTCCTCCGTGCGTCGAACGACTTCCATTAAAAATCTGTCGACAACTAGGGCCTCCTCCAGTGATTGATTGTGAGAATCGTAAGTCCGGCATCTCAGGAATTCAGCTAGATCTCCTCGTTGCTTGATTTCATCGTAGAAAAACTTGACATGTGGTATCGAGAGATCAAGTTCTGGTGTCGATTTGTATCTTTGTAATGGCGGTTCGATTTCTCTAGGCGCATTACACCTCCGGGTGGCGCGATGGAGCTCGATTACAGGTTCATCTTTGACTCTTGATTCGAGCTTGCGCCGTTTATTCTTTTGCGCGGGGTCATTTCGAAGATCGGAATCAGATAAACCGCGAGAATTCTCTGCGATTTGAGATAGAGGGGGTCGGATCAGAGAAACATTCTGAATGCAAGATTAGCAAGTTACATAGAGCTCTCGCAACGTTCATGCCTTGTTAGACTCCTTGACATTGTTGTCCCTACCCGCATCCAACTCGGTCGCACGAACAGTGGAGAGCTCAGTACCGCCCTTCGTCGAAAGGCCAGTGACAACATCTTCGAGTTCATGACCGTTCTCTTCTACGACCCTACCTACATTTGACTGGCCCGCGTGAGTAGTGGAGAGGTCAGCACGGCCCTTCGTCGAAAGGCCAGTGGCAATATCTTCGAGTCCATGGCTGTTGGCCTCTTCTACGACCGGAGATATATCCTGAAACAAAATCAGCACAGAGTATGTAGAGCTCTCGCAACGTTCATGCCTTGTTAGACTCCTTGACATTGTTGTCCCTGCCCGCATCCAACTCGGACGCACGAACAGTGGAAAGCTCAGTACCGCCCTTCGTCGAAAAGCCAGTGACAACATCTTCGAGTTCATGACCGTTCTCTTCTACGACCCTACCTACATTTGACTGGCCCGCGTGAGTAGTGGAGAGGTCAGCACGGCCCTTCGTCGAAAGGCCAGTGGCAATATCTTCGAGTCCGTGGCTGTTGGCCTCTTCTACGACCGGAGATATATCCTGAAACACAATCAGCACAGAGTATGTAGAGCTCTCGCAACGTTCATGCCTTGTTAGACTCCTTGACATTGTTGTCCCTACCCGCATCCAACTTGGTCGCATGAACAGTGGAGAGCTCAGTACCGCCCTTCGTCGAAATGCCAGTGACAATATCTTCTTGTCTGTGACCGTTCTCTTCTACGACCCTACCTACATTCGACTGGGCCGCGTGACCAGTAGAGAGCTCAGTACGGCCCTTCTTCGAAAGGCCAGTAGCAACATTTTTGAGTTCGTAACTGTTGGCTTCATCTACCCCTTTGGTATACTTGAAACCGTCTGCTTCGATATCTCCACCGCCGTTGACTTTCGTATTCACCTTGAGGCTGGCCTTTACCTCTCCAGTAGCGTTAACTGTACCACTTGTTTCATGAAGATATTTCCTAGCTGTGATGAGGTCACGTTTTTTGTCGCGGGCCTTGTTCGTCGTGGCCTTAGCCTTAAGCATTTTCTCGATCTTTTCCTCCGTTAACGTCTTGAGATTATCTCTAGTTGGCGCGAAAGTATACTCATCTGTCGATCTATCAGAGACAATGATATTCAAATCATTGACACCTACAATTATCTTTACCCCAGATGATTTCCGCTGAGACTTGACCATCTGATGCGATTCTTTTCACCTAGAAATTATCAGACATCGGTGAGGATTCAATTGCAATAATCAAAACTAAACATTTGGAATGACATACAATTGCGGGCCAGAGTGGATGTTGCCCATCTCTCACTAAGACGAGCTGCCCTTGAACGAACATTTGGAGAACGAATAGCAAGCAACGAAACGCTCAATGTTGAAGAATGTAGTTCTTTCAACGTGACCACGAAGCTAAAATGAAAGCGCTACTACTCGTGTCTCTCGCGGACCTAGACCGTCATCACTTCCTCTCTTTCTACACCGCCGTCTTTTGCATAGCGTCGGGAGACGATGCAACGATAACCCTTCTCTCGAGCTCTTTATCACGCCCGATCTCCGGTGGGACCTTTAAATTCATTCCTGAGGAATCTTGGTTCCTCATTATCTCTACTACGACACCTTTCTTCTCCAGTCGAGTCCTAAGACGAACACCGCCCTTACCTTGACCGTCCTTATTTCCAGTTCCCCTACCCCCGGTGGTTGGTGGTAAGTGGTTACACGCTGGAGCACCTACATATGTTGTTGGACGAAGTGAGCCCACTCAACCTGGGAATGATTGCACTGTGAGTGTTTCTCATGTTATGAAATCAAACAGAAAGTCACCGTTGTAACATGTAGACACCACGGTCGAGTAATCTGCACCTTCTCACTCGAGGAATGCAATAAACAGACGTCTTCGATTTTGCTGGATCTGAAGAGATCCGGAGACGTCGGTTAGTACCAGCGTTTCCATCCCATGCTCCCGAAGATGGGTCTCAAATATGACATTCTCCTCGATGAAGTCCTTCGTCGCAACAGGTTACTGTCAGCTGTATTACACCCATTATCTTGTGATGTAACGAGCTTTGGGTTAGACTCTTACAGAGGCGAAAAAAAGGGAGCTCGAGCGCGTGAAAGGTCTCAAGAGTTGTTCGGTAATGTTTTCGTGGAATATCAGAGAATAAGACGATGATCTGTGTGTTTCAAATTGAAGTGTCGAGAGGTTTCGGCGGAGAGATGGTGGGAGATGGCACAGGACTCTGAAAAATTTGAGATGGACAGAGCATATCGAAGTTGAATGATTGTTTGGGTGTGAAAGAAATGAGCAAGCCAAATCCTGTGTCCAAGGGTGTGGAGCTCTTATTGAAGGTTTGTACTAGCACTCGCGTACCCACGTAGAATGATCAGATGCAGACCGCACAGAAGAGAAAGAACGGGCTTTATCAAAGTTCGAACCACAGTTCATGTTTTCAGGCGAAAACAAGGTAACGTCAGCTTAACGTAGACAAGGGCGGCGCCCCAAATGAGGGTATAGTTGGGATATTGCGTATAGTTTTACATGTACACGAATTAGTCCATGCGAATTGCGCAGCCAAGACACCAAAATATATTGTAGATGATGTGCATACGTCCAAAAAATTACAAATATCTCAAAACGACTTACAACTTACTGAAGACACAAAACGAAGACACAAAACAACCAAACTGAAGCGGAACAACACGGAAAACCACCATCGGAAGCCATTCAGCTGTGTTGAGAACGAAGGAGAGATTCGTTATCTTCAGTCATCTCCTTGCATTGGTTGTTTCGGACTGTCAGCTCTGAAAATTTCGACCTTCCTTCTCTTAGTGGAGCCAAATGCAGAGTTTCTGATCACCTATACATGTCTGTCAATCAAGGCCAGAGGATATACATCATGTACCCACATCTAACAATCCTGAGGAGAAGACTATATCAGATTCAGGGCTTCGATCATGAGGTGTCGGTGCTACTGTATGCAACGGAAATGTCTCATATTTGTTGCTATAAGAATGACTGCTACGCCAGGAGCTACATTCGCTTGCTAAGGTTTTGTCAGTTATATGAGGATAATGCGGAAGCAGGTGTCTTACCTGTTGACCGGTTCGCATCAGTATTAGATCGCAGACTTCCAGCCTTGGTATCGGAAACGCCGCGGTGTATGTCAAGCCTAGCAACACAGTCATTGAAACGACGTCTACAGTCCGATGATTCCTGAGGAATATGAATATCTTTGTCGGTGAAGGAAAGAAGAGGATGTGCGTCGTAAGGAGTGGCAAGGGACGAAGCATATGTCAAATGGTGACAGCTCATGCTTCGAGTCGGTGATAGCTCCGATCGAGGATGGGTCAACGAGCAGGCCGGGTGACTATGGTCGAATGGGCAAGGCAGAGAAACTGAGGAGTGGGGACTTGCAAGACGTGTGAAATCGCGGGTAAGGAACGACGGTGACGGTGGCGGCACGTAAGATAGAACCTTTGTTTCAAGGCCACGGCCTCTCTTGGATGAGACTCGCTGCTTCAGCTCAAGGGCTTCTTTCAGTTTGAAGTTTTCTCGCTGAAATCCCTCAGCCTCGTTTTCCGCTTTTTCCCAGCGATATTGAAGCTATATAAATCAGATCCAGCATTTCAGATAGGAGTGAGTATACGGACTAATGAGGACATTGATTCAAGATGAGCGACTGTTTTTTCGAGAGCTGAAATGTACTTGGCATGCCTAATGAAATACCGATTGGCAAGATAAAAATGAGTTTTGTTCAGAAGACGAACCGTGCTCTATACGCTGCTTGAGTTTCGGCTTTTCTTTTCTTTTTAATCTCAGTTGCAGACGTATGAGATGGTTGTATCGTCGACGACATGGCAGTGCTTGTCGAGGGGCAAGATATCACATATCACTGTGTCGGGGGCGATAAATCCCTGCTGAGAAAGTGGCTGAAATTTTTTATGGGAAAACTTTCCTTTCTCGGTATCTTTTCTACCTAAAAAAGTACATAAATATCGAGGCAGAAATACACTGCGAATTATTTCCTTTCCCAGTAAATATCCTCCCTGAGATTGATAGTGGGATTAATTCCCTTTTACGACGAAGAAACGTCTCATTTTCCACCTTTTATCCAAAGGGAGAAAGGAACTGGGATTGTTCTCCCTTCCCGGACCATTTCCCTTTCAAACAACATTGCCTTTTCCGGGTCAGAAATATACTAGAATCCATTTGCTTTTACCTTTGTTATTAATCTACTTTCCCGGCCAAGAAACAAATTGGGCGAAGAGCGGACGATGTCTACCCGATGGAAACCCTGTAGACGGAAGCTGAGGGGTCGGCACCGACTCTCAGGTAACCTTCGGCAGATTTTATTCTGTAAAGCCGGCGATGGGCAATGTTATCTACAGCGTACGCATACAAAGATGATCGATATTCAGGTAATGACGCAAGGTTATGTACGTGTTAGGATTAGAGGTCAGCGTGATAAATAGACACGAGAAGAACATTCATGATAGTGTAGGTGAATAAGGGGTGGCGTCGTAATCGAGTGACAGAGACTACCCGCAGTTGGGGCGTGGAGGGGAGTCGACAATATCGGTATGAGAACGCAGGGGTGGGATGGAGAGCCCAAGACAAAGTCCGAAAAAGCGTCTTCAATGCAACGTTTACATATCAGAATCAGGAAAAGCAAAGCGCTGATGAGAGACCGTAACACCGTACTGAGAAGATATCGGAAAAACATTCAAGTCCCATTGCCTGTCAGGGTGCGAACGACAAGTGGTGACTGTGGCGACATGTGTCAACTGGGAAGGAAACACGCGAGTAGGATCCAATCTCGATATTTGATGGTCTATAAGTCTGAAATTCGCCTCATAAAATGCATGTGGCATACTGGTTGTCCATTTGAAGGTGATGGTCTCAATCTCTGGTGCATGAATTATATCCAGTAGCCATCTCGAAGGGCATATTAAGAAAGTCAGCATGAGATGTTTCAGGGATGGTAACTGAATGGGGGATGCCCGGAAATCTTCTGCAGTGGACATGGATCAGGAATCGGATTGGTACTGAAATGGAGCATAAGTCGGCCTACCATAGTGTGACCAAGATGAACGCGTGTCAAAAGCTTGGCATAATTCAAGCCTGCATAGACTAGTCGACACAATCGGGAGCACGATTTGGGCAGCGAAGGGACACCCGACCACAAGAACTCGAAGGCCATGGAGATCGAAAGGACAATGGGTTTCCTCCAACCATTTGTATTCCATTTCCTGAGGGCCCTTCGCACAGGCTGTAGTCGACAACTGAGGGGAGTCTCGTCCTTCCGCAGAGACAAGCTGAAGGTATTGAAGCTGGGGCCTGCCCTCGATTCTGGGCAACTCGTGTGCCAATTGTCGAAATGCATTATATGCATCATCGACATGACTTTGACATGAACCTCCGCCCGGCTTAGCGGCGGGCAGCAACGACAATATCCTGAGGTATTTGCATTGACCAAGTGATTCGAGAATGGTGCGGAAGGAACTGTACAACATCGGAATGGAATCGTGGAAGATAAATACCTCGAGGATAGGACTGAAAGTACAGATGGTTTCGTTGATATATTTTGAAGGCACCGGTGTGTCCAGGAGGAGATCTCCACGAAATTCAAGAACGCGAAGTCGCTCTGGCCCGGGGGCAATGTCAGAATGAATGAAAGAGTGGTAGGGGTCACCAATAAGTCGTCGAATGTACTTGATACGATGGGGATAGTCCCGTAATTCTGCAAGTTTTCTTCCATCTCTCCTGAGGTCCACCGTCTCGAAGATGAATGATTTCGCTTCCTCCCTCCATGACCGACAGACTCCTGTGCATGCTAAGAGATCCGCCTCCCTCATATGAGACAGGCATTCACTGAACAACTCGGCACAAATGAGAGGGAGAAACATGTTATCGATTTGAGAGTCTTGAACGTAACAAGTAGTGGGGACTTCTTCGACTGAAGTTAGTCTCTTTAAAGAAGTAAGCCATATCCGCAAGACAAAGAAATGTCCGATGGGTTTAGTATCCATGAGGCGAACCATGATGTGATTATAGAAAGAGCACTAATACCAGATAAGATTCCTATTCACAGTCACACACCCTTCTAATATTGAACATCGGTATCCAAAGAGATCCACAAGTGCCGAGTAGTCCCGTATATGGTGAGAAGGTAAGCATCACATATCAAATACCGAGCAAGAATTTTGAGATCCTTAGCTCCTTACGCCGAGTATGATCATCACTGACTGTATTCGATGGGTGGAATGAGCTGGTAGGCTTGTTTGAAACACAGAAAAGTGATAAGCACATATACAAACATAGGTACAACGTATCTTTAATCTACGATTATGACGGCTTTCTGTAAATGAACACTGGTATCTGTATGGTCTTTGCGTTCCCGGTTGCGAATCTTCGTTCTATAGACACCGTCGGTATGCCTTGCATAATTCTGCATGTTGTTCTTGGCATGATCCAGCTTCTGGCTTATATTACTGGGGCTAAACGGAGAGTTCTGTGTTACGGTCGTCAGCGTTGAACGGAAGTCTCGCCTAGAAAACCCAGACCTGATAGACAGTATAGTACCCAGCGAATGTGAGCAATGCCATGAGCCCGAGAATACGTGCCCAATCCCAGATCTGCTTTGACAGGTGAAAACCAATAAGAACTGAATCGGTCGAAGAATGATTTGGTGTAACGTCAGTACAGGAAGCACTCGATGGCAGCTGGGGAGAAGAGACATCTTCAAGCGGAATACGTTTCTCGAAAAGGATTACATCTGCAGATTGCTGAGCAGTTGATCCCGCAATTGCGATAAGGTGACGGTCAGGAAGTGTGATGGTCTACTCGAGTGACATTAGTGATAGAAGTTGAACCATTTTGCAGCACTTACTGTAACTGGTTGTACCAGGCCTCCGCGAGGGTAGGTCAAGGTTTGTAGTAGCTCTTCCGTATTGACTTCATATATCAGAGCATGGCCACGATCAGTTCCACCGACAATAATGTTTTCGGATTCTCCAAATGCGACTGTTTTGGAAAACATAACAACTGGTGTCTCGGCGCTGTAGGTCTTCAAGAGCTCTAGGCTGGCAAGACGATAAAGATGGAAGTTCTTCCCAGTATAAGCAACGAATTTATTGCTCGTATTGCTCAAAGCGACAGATCCCCTGAAAAAATGTGAGACTCATAACAGAGAAGGCAAAGGCGCATGCCCGCACATTATTCCGGGGCCATGAGATTTACGGGACTTTATCGCTCCAGTTTTATAGTCTAGGCAAAGTCTAACAACTCAATGAGGGTCGATACAGAGGAATTGAGGTGTATAGATACGCACATTTCACCTCCGTAGAATGGAAACACGAAAATGTCTCTAGTAATCTTACACATTCGAACCGTTTTCGGATTGATGTTTTCATCGAGCGTAGTGGAGAAGATTTTGGAAAACTCCCCGGATGAAGACAAAGACCAGACGCTAATGTGTCGGTTAGCTGTGGCAGCGACGACTCTTCCAATCCTGCCCGAGGCAATATCTTGTTCATAAACATCCATGGAGAGAACCTCCTCTTCCTTATTTTCCATTGGAGGCACCCGATAAAGTACCTGAAAGGACTATAATCGGGATCAGAGTTTTTCTATGAGTGAGGTGGCCTTCTGGCCCACCTTGATGTCGTCCTTGTAGTCCCAAAGTATCAAATCTCCCCGCATAGAGGCTAACAGTAGGACGTGGCATTTGTTTTTTTGAAAATAGACCCAGAAAGAAGAGGTGATCACATATTTCGGGTTTTGAGGAGCAAATAGCATATGCGGCAAAGTAATGGCAGCAGAAGTCGAGAGATCCCAAACGAATACGCCGCTGTACCCTGCACAGGAAATTCAAAGACTGGAAATACAAACAAGAGGAAATGAATGACCGGCAGCAGAGAGGAACTTGGCCTTTGCCGAAAAGGCGAGAGAGACGACAGCGTCGCGCGCACCCGACAAGGTGGCGAGTGGCTCATACTGAGGGACCATGACGATTATATCTGAAGAAGAAATATAGGCCAAATTAGCATCTGGGTAAGAAACGTGTTCCGGATCACGTAAATTTCCGTGCCACTGGGTGACGCTTGGTCCCTGCTTGATCAGGCTTGGTCCCGTTCTTCAATGCTCGTGTATGGAAAGCATTGTTGTTCCTCAAAGCCCTTTTATCGGATGCTCAAAGCAAAATCGGAAGTCACTTTGGAGCGGATATGCATTTTCAAACCCCTTTGCAGTTGCATCTACTTTCGCGCCTTTGTCGCCTCCGATATGCTCACCATATTTAATAGGCCACTGGTTACTCTGGACTTCCACATTCTCCTTCTGCACCATCATGAATCCTTATAGCAATTTCGACCATCGTCCTCTATGTGCTGATCACAAGGAAATCAATCTACCTTCTGAGACACTTAGTGCCGTCGACCACACCACTATTGCCCCATCGACTGGTCCAACACGGACACAGAAAACATCGAACAGAGCTTCGCCATACAGCAGCCCTTCCCCAGATCCTCAGCTACAGCAGCATCGTTCGCCTTTATCCCCTTCAGTATCCATCGAGTCTTTGTCCAGCGAGCTTGAATATGAATCTGACCGAGAGCGACTTGCACACTTGCAACGTGCTCGACAAGGATCATACGTATACGGCAACAATCATCACACTCCGCACAGTCCTAAACATTCTTCCGATTCCTCTACATCTGCCACCAATTCACTTGCCTCTCATTCACCTGCCTCTGTCTCAATGGCGGATGATTTAGCACAGGCGATTGATAGAAGCTCTAAAACTGTTTCCGCGGTACCTGCGAAGAGGCGTGGTCCGCCTGCACTTGTTTTCGAGAACGATTCTGATGACGACTTCTTGATACCGAAACCTCCTGGTGAGGTTGGAAGGCCGAATCGTGGTGGTTATTCACTTTTTGATGTTTTGTCATGGCCAAGAAAAAAATATGACCAAGTTAAAGTGCATATACATCATCTTCTGGAGCGTGCAATTACTCATGATCACTGACCCTACCAGAAATATATCAACAAACTTGTTGATGATCATCTAGATTGTGAGGTTCCTATGAGTGAACAAACGGCAGCAAAGGTGAAAAAGGTTCGAGAGCTGGTGAGCACAATCATTTCTCGAAGAACCCCGAAACACTCTAAACTTGAACACAGGCTGTCGAAAAGTACCCCTTTTTGAAAGAATACAGCGGGCTTTGGGCTGTCGACGACTTCATTCGCAACCATTTAAAATACCAGAAATCCGTGCTTAGGAAGGAGAAGCTGGAGAAAATTGCAGCAGAGGCCAGCCGCGCGGCTGAGAAGCGAGTAGAGCGTAGTCATACTAGATCAACCTAATCTCAGAGTATCTAGCAAGTTATTCACGCGTAATTAACTCATGTCCTGCCTAAACCTATTTCTATTCGTTTGTCGTTCGTATGGCCTTGGTTGTGCTACACATTCAAAATTCACGCCTAACTAGATAATATTAATACATCTCATTGAGCTTTCAATGCGGACAAATTTCTTGTGATAGATGATAACCGATATTTCGATACTAGACAATTGGAAACGTTTGGCCCAAACCCGAAGGCTGAAATTTCTACCAAGGTGAACGCGATTGACAATATCAGGGTTCATGATTCAAAAGGGCTGGAACACTATTGAAAGAATGTAATTGACGACTACTCGATATAAGGTTCACATACCTCGGAATTGGGACTTCCTCAGCTGCTGTCGGAACATTGACGACAAGGCCCTTCTGCATTGCAGTCAAATATTCAGGGTGGTAGTATGACAAAGGAAGATGAGAAGGAGGAGACCGCTCGACCTGATGATGGCCACGCAATCGTGGGAGTCGTTTTCGTCCTACTTGAGCAAATAGACCTTTTTCAGTTTCACGGGTCGCATCGACTTGGTCAAAAACTGCATTGAAATGAGGGTGACGGAATGCAGGCTCATAGACAATGATCCCTTGTTGCCCTTGACTGTCCAAAACCTCTTCATCATCGGATGTTCCTGCAATCCCAAGACGATGAAGGGCAGTAACTATCTCAGACCAACAGTTATACTGTTCTTCATTACCCAGAACCTCTGCAATATGGATCATTGCTGCTGCAGTCTGAAGGCGCCGTTCCAATTTCTTAGCCCAGAAAAGTTAGCACATGCTATGGACAGATCGAAAGAAATATATACATACATACTGACGTGCCCTTCTTCTTCGACTTTCAATCTTCTTCCTCTCGTAGTCATAGTCTTTTACGCCAGCTCTGGCCTTGACAACTTCCAGAAAGATCCGATAAATACGCTCATTAAAGAGCGCAGTCCAATCAATTGTTCGTTCGTGAGTGCCATAGTAGTCAGGGTTTGGAGAAGCATGTTCTGCTGCTTGGCCTGCAAGGAGACCAACGACCATCTGATTCCACGGACTGTCTCGCATTCCGGCTGCAGTATGTAAAGAAGTGTTGAGTCTCATTGGAGAAACGGGTAAAATGTAAGCAGGAGGATCAGCTAGATATGATCCCAGCTCATCGGCCGAGACAGTGAAGGCTTTCCAGTTAGCTGGGTCATCGATACCTAAGAATTCATCGAGGATTTTCCGTGCAAGTTTCTGTTTAAGTAGATGAGTAAAAGACATTGTACACCTAGCAAATGTACAGACATTGATGTGGCGACGTATTTCACTTTCTAGGTATGGCCTGTACAAGAAGTTATTTCATGAGAGATATAACTTGCAATAATCATTGAAAACCCACATTCCGTTGACTTCAACGTCGGCGGATCGTGATGAAGTCGGAGGACCGGATTAGGAAAATAGGGTGGGAACCGATTAATCTGATGATCGGGAATCCGGCTCGGTCGCTGGGAGGACGATTACACCCAACGACAACAGTGATGGGCTCGTACAAGGATCTTCTGGCTGGCTTGAAGGACAAACCCGCGATTTCTAGACAGCCAGTATCGATTTCTCCTTCTCCATCAGAAGCACGAGCGCGAGCATCTATGCAAAAGTATAAAAATCTTCCCTCTACCGACTCCGACTACGATCTGAGGATTATGGCGATTGGAGCATGTTCAAATCTTGACAAGGACAACTCTTCGCAACAGCAGTCACTAGAATCCCCATTTGCTGAATTTCAAGTAAAACTTGCTAAAGAAACTGTAAGTACCGGTTGTAATCTGATTATCGTATACTCATTGAATGCATGATCCTCAAGGTGAAGGATATGATCAAAAGTGCCATCCCAAGGAGTAGTTCGTCTATTGAAGCAGACTCGTTAGAATCAATCCTAGTTCCAGATGCCCAAGGTCGTCTGCAGTTTGGAGATCCAAAGACAAGGAACAAGCGCACAACCCGTGGTTTATATGCTATTTCAAGTTTCACTGAAGCAGCTCACACGCTACAGAACCAAATTCAAGCGATCTCGTCATCCCACACTCCGGAAGAGATACGGAACATCTTATGTACCGTAGAGGATAGCTCCGAAACCCTTCGTTATCAGCTCACTTCTGTGACCCAGACTGCCGTTGCCGAGGAGGTCAAAGAAGTGAGAGCAATATTGGAGTCGTTGGATCAGGTGGTCCGCATGTGGAGATTAGAGTATCCAGACTCATCTCCTGTAAAAATCAACAACCGTACGTGTTTAATTTCAATCTCAATCTTTAGTCTCATGTTATGTCAAGGGGAACATTTCTTTGATCCTGGTGAGGGCAAGAACACAGCTACAGTAATCGCATACTGCCTCGCCCTTGTCTCCCGGGTCTTTGAAGGAACAGCACAACGAGGCTCGAGCCTCATCTTGAAGTTATTGAAAATGTTCGGTTTTTCGTTTGCAACACTGGCTGGCCAGGAGCTTAATCCCGATCAAGAAGCTACACTCGCCAGTATCCCTGAATCCATCCAGACGCTAGAGCAAAAATTCAATCTGAATGTCAACTGTATCCCCTATGCTGTCTGTCCTAGCTGCAGCTACACACATCCTCCGTCCTATCCAAATGATGCTTCACATGCGGTATACCCTACTGTTTGCTCGGAAAGGAAGGCACCGCTAGAAGAGATCTGTGGTGCATCTTTACTGACGTATGGGAAGCCCTTGAAAATATATGAGTATTATCCTTTCTTCGACTGGTTCGGAAGGTTTCTCGCGCTCCCAGGCATTGAAGAATACGGCGACAGATTTTGCAAAACTGTCAATGGCCACCACTCCATTCCTATTGACAAGGTTGACGAGACAGATGGCCGGTTTGTCCACGAATTTCGAGCCAATGATGGCCAATTATTCATTGCGAATCGTGGATCTGAAGGTCGCTGGTTCTTCGTCTTGAATGCTGATTTCTTCAACGTCGAAGGAAATCGCATTCGCGGAAAGAAGTCTTCAACTGGTATGATAGCCATGAGCTGTTTGAATCTTCCGCTCGAGATCAGGAACGATCATGCATTCCTCTATATTCCTGGCATAATTCGGGGTCCACATGAACCGAATGCGAGTAATGCAGAACACCGCCATTACCTGAAGCCACTGGTTGATGACCTGGTGAAGGGGTACACAAGAGGGGTTCGACCCTATGCTACATTTCAATCTCGCAGTTCCAAATCACCTTACAGCCGTGTTTTTCGTATTGCTCTGGCCTTAGCTCTCATGGATTTCAAAGCTGCACGGCCATTTTGTGGCTTATTAGATGTTACGTCGCACCACTTTTGCTTCCTCTGTGATTGTTGGCATGTGGCACATCTGGGCAGAACAGATTACGAAAATTGGACTGCATTAGATGATGAACGTATCAGAAAGGGTGCTGAGATGTGGCGTGATGCCATGGTCAAGGAGCGCAAGGCTATCGAGGATCTCTATGGTACCCGGTTATCAGAGCTATTGCGGCTCCCATATTGGCGTCTTCGTCAAATTGGTATCGATCCTATGCACACACTCTTCCTCATTCTCCTTCAAAGGATGTTTCGGGATATCTTGGGCTTAGACAATCCTGAAGATATCAGTCGAAAGCCAAAAAATCCTAGGTTCAAGTTCGCATTCTATCATGATTTTGTGCCTCCTCCACCATTGTCATCGCTGGTAGAGGAGACCGAAGTGCCATTGCGCCGATGGAGCAGTGTCATTGGTTATGTATCTCAACCTATAGACGAAAACCGACTCTCATTGCTTAACTGGGGTCACCTCTCCTCCGAGCACCGCGCCCATCGGGAGACCAGACTGGCGTCTCTGAAAGCTGAAATTTCCAATGATAGCCGTGCGTATCAGGCTGTCTTGGAAATACTGAGTGATTTGTCAGAGAAGGCCCCTGAAAACTCATCGAAGAAGAAATCATTATACGGGAGAATCCACAAGCAGAAGTGGATCGCAATTCTCTTTGTTTGCGACAATCTGGCCATATTCCCTGACCACAAATTCCCTCAATTCCAAATCTCTTCAAAGATAGTCAAAGGTAATGTGACGAAGGAGAATCTGACCAATATTCTAATTGATTGGGTGCGTTTTTATTTTCTCTGCTTCTTGTAAACTCTCAAATATATTCAAAGCGCGTCGATGGCATCAAAGAGACAGAGGATTTTGTATGGCCCTTTTTCACACCAGTAAATTCTCCACCTCCTACTGCTCCATGGGCTCCCGGGCATCCTTCAAGTACCACTGGAGACACGTCTGCTACCACTCGCACATTAACTCCTGAGGGACAAGCGGAACTGATGAGGGAGCTTGGCAAGTCCATGAGTTATTCTTCTGCATTGGGAGTTGGTGGCATTCATCGGCTTCTGCAACAACCGTTAGCCCGAGACGAGCCAGAAGACGAGCTTCGGAAAGCTCTGAAGAAATTTTCCGGGGATTCGTTGGCTTATGTTTGCACCGACCTCAAACGGCTTCCTGCAGGAAAATTTGCGAAAGATGACATGGTCAAGCAGTTAATGGCCTGGGTATGCATCAGATTTCCTGCTCATTGATGTGTTCTCAACACCTCATTATATAGAGAATGACAAAACCCATCGAACAGATGAAATCGACCTCAATTGACTCTCGAGATCTATTGCGGAGAGTGCAGCAAGTAGTACGCGAAGTTATTACACCTGCTTGGGTGACGAACCCACCTCCAAATGTCGGATTGTACGAAGCAGGAACCTTGAAAGCAGATCACTGGAGAACTTTATTTTCCATCCACCTTCCGTTAGCTATATTGAGCTTATGGAAAGAAGCGTCGCCTGTAGCCGCTGCAAATGCCCGTGATATGGCTTCTGTAGTGGACACGACCTTGTATTTGACTTGTGCATCCCTGGTTATGACGAAGCGCAAACTTACCATGGACCGCCATGAACAGTTCCGTCATCTACTACGACTGCATGTCTTGGGGCTGAAACAAAACTTCCCTGGATGGATATTTCCCTCTCACCATCTCGCATTCCACATTCACGAGTTTATGGACTTATTCAGCGGTGTTCGGCACTGGTGGCTCTTCCCCTTCGAGAAATTGATTGGAAAACTTCAGCGCATTCCGACAAATCACAAACCTGGTAGGTATTGTCCAATCTATTCGTGATATCAGTCATTTATTTCAAAGCATAGGTGAATTCGAACGTACAATCCACCATTCTTTCTGCACAGGCTCTTTCTTTCGCCAGTGGTTAATGCGATCTAATGCTCCACCCATCCTTTGGTATTGCCAAAAACTTCTAGATAAAGCCTACAACTATGATCGGAGGCCCTCTACTCATTCCGACGACGACGATGTTAGTGAACATCCTGATGTGGCATCGCGGTCGATCCGAAAGACCACCTTCACAAGTGCTCCAGAACTCACCAAATTACTTGGTAAAGAGCCTGTTGAGTATTTCAACCGCATTCCTGCATCTAAGGGTGATTACACAATCCCGGCTGAGGGTGCTTCAGGAAATAGCTACATCTGTTTCCAGCCAGAAGATGACTATCAACCTGGACGGAAGTGGGTGGCCGGTCAGATTCAGCATATTTTCAGGCAACAGAACAACGGTCCCATTCAACTTGCAGTTCTTCGTAGTCAGTCCGTTTTCCGACTCGATCCGTTCTCCGATTTTTGGGACAATGGTTTTGAAGCCAAGTTGGTTTCTTCGAAGTTCGGAGGCACTCTCGAGGTGATAGACATAAAACAGGTTGCGGCACACACTGCTAGATGGGCTATCTCTGATGATTTGGTTGTAGCTGTCAATCTCTGTGCAGTAAGTTTGGCTGTTGTACCCTGGTTAAGATTGTTAACGTGTCCATAGGATTAACTTTTGACTCGAGGATTGCTCTATGCTCACGCTCATTCGACTGTCTTGATTTATTTGCACATACACTTGATGTACACTTATGGTAAAACTGCGAATTGACTGATTATAAGTTTGTGATCGCAATACATTGAAGTTTATACAAGTTGATTAAATTGAGATGTACCGATACTGATATCTACTGAGTATGAAGAACAAGACGGACTGACAAACACGCGAAAAGATGAAAGGGGAATATTCCATTATTACATCGGCTGACTGACACCTAATCATCATCGACGAAAATGGGAAACGGAGCAGGCGCAAAGACGGGAGGAGAAACGGGATATGTTCCAGTACGAGAAACAAAAGGAAGTGATGGAGGCCTGGATTGGAATGCACGCGGCCATTGCAGCGGCTCACGCAAAGGAGTTGGAATGCCTTTCATCTCCAGCATGTCGTCGACACTGCGTTGACAGGAATAGTTGGGGATAGGTGTGAAACGGCCTTGAATCGTGCGGCAATCGGGGCAGGCAAAATTATACCTGGCTTTGAAATAGATGTCGGACAACCTAAGGAGACAATTTTTGCAGAAAGTGTGGCCACAGGAAAGGCTGCGTCGAGGATGAAGTAAGTGTCTTATATACTAAGAAGGAACGACGACCGCGTACATAAAAGGCTGATACATTACTTCAAGGCAACATGTGCATTCATTGCGAACTTTCGCAGCATCGTTGAAAGATTGGATGTTCTTCTTTGCCACCTGCAAAATTGGTCATGGAAGAAAAGTGCATAGATACAGGAGCAACGTACCTTGAGAGCATTTGCTAGATCGGCGTCATTCTGGTGAGATTCGTCACTCAAACCAATATCCTGGGAGGACTGCGACTGAGAAGACTTCTAAATAATGATTACTGCATGAGCGGGATAAATAAATGGTTCACTCACCATTGAAACGAATACCACATCATCCTCTTCGTTGGATTCCAACACAAGCGCATCAACCTGCAAGCATAGAAGTTGGATGTTAATACTCAGTTGAAAGGGGCTGCAAGGGGGGAACGTACGACATTGTGAGCAATTGCACCTGAAGAGCCCGAGAAAGATGCGGCAGAGTTGAGAGAATGCGGAGGTGTAGCCGGAAGGAGAACTGGTTCTTCATAGTCTAACGCTAAGCTGGGAAGATGAAGACTGGGTGCAGTCGAAGTAGATGAGGCCGGAGCATTACGGCGTGAAGGCGTACTCGAAGATGAAGTAGTGCAGATTTGGGAGGGTGTACTGGGCTGCGAACGATTCCTCGATCTTCTTCCATAAGTTCGGACAGGAGGAGGAGGGGAGGAAGGTCCAAAAAGCTGAGACCTTGAAGAACGATTGGGGGTCGAGGGGACGGACTTTTTAGTGACTGCCGGGGAGTTGGTACGCATGCTAAGGAATTGAGTAAGCACAGGTGAAGACGAAGCAGAAAAGACGCTGACCTGACAGGAGATTGAGTGAGGAGGAATGATACCACCAGAGATTTGAGCTGTTCTTCAAATAGTTCGCTCATTGCTCAAATCACAAAGGCGTAGTGACATGGATGCTTTGTCTTCAAAGTAGAAAGCATCAGAATCGGTCAATAAGCGTTGAGTGTCCATATAATCGCCTTTGAAGCCTTTGTATGACAAAGCGCCAGAATGAATGCGGCGGCGTCTATTTACTGAAGGCCTTGTAATGATAATCCCCATTGTCGTTATCTTCTTTGGCATTGGCTGTCCCGCAAATTCTCGCCTCTAACCTCTAGCCTGGGACAAAGCAAGTAATACAGTGACCTTATCATGAATTCATAGATCGATTTCTCTCGACTCGATTGAACATATATACAAATTTCGAAGAATATTAGACGTTCTCTTGAGCTGCATCAATAAGATTGGTCAACACAAGTGAAGCATCTGTAACGATGGTACGCCATTCGTGTCCCTTCGCGCCTTCCCTATCTGTTTGATCTCCCAATGCCGTCCCCCACCATTTGAGGCAAGCAAGCACACTGAGCCAGCCGTTCTTCCCGCTCCTATCGAGATTTCGCCATCCCTCCAGGTTACTGGCCAGCTCTCCGGCATCAGGAGCTTGTTGAAGCTGTTTCCACCAGCGCACAAAACACTCGCGAAACCGAATAAGAGCGTCGTCCGTCTTCAGTTCGGGTTCGTTACCCCGCCTGTCATACCTACAGTTGAGTATCCATTTGCTAAGTTCCTCGGGCCTATTTTGGCGTGCCAGACCTCTGGTTGAAGATGCCCAGCCTCTGGAACATTCGAACTCGACCCATTTCTTGAAAAGGTTGGCATATCCTTCACCTAGATTTCGATTGAGGTATTCAAATGCAGCCGGAAACCATTTCTGAGCGTTTTTCGATTTCAACGCATCTTCGGGGTAGGTCATAAGCTGGGAAGAGTTCATTTAAGATGGAAAGGAGATTGAGGTTGAAACGAGCATACATCGGATGTGGATTGGACGCTTATCGGAACCGCATCAACAGCGTACGCACCCTCTATGTTGAGGCCAAGACCCTGCATGACCAAACTTGCATCGTTCCGAACTGGAGCAGTGGGATTCTTGGAATGCAAAGCGCGCTCAGCCTCCGTGAACAGACTGAAATACACCACATACCTGCTGGTCTCTTTTTGGGCCCTCGTTGTTGAGGGATGAACTTCCGCAATCATTCGGGGGGAAAGCAGGCAGGATAGACTGCGACTGATATTGAATGAAAAATGACATCAACGACAGATAAGTTCTAACCTGGTCATCCGAAGGAGCCTCTTTGATGTCAACGGCATTTGTAGGCGACACCATGGTACGATCAACGCCTCTGTCGATGGGCTTCGATGATTTCAGAGTGTGCAGCTCTCCTTCGAGCTCGTTGATGCGGCGTTGCAATCTCTCTGCTCTGATTTCTGCGGCAGTCTTCTGTTGGAATAGCAGTCTCCTTTCGTCTTCAAGAAGTTGTATTTGTTCAGAGTCGCAGTTCTACAAAAAAAAGTGTATTCAAAGTGTTCATGGAAGAATATCCGAACTCACCATCAATTCATCCAATTCGACCTCCGCCTCTTCCAACAAACGATCTTTGTTGAGTAGCTGCTCCTCCAGTTCTCGTGCCTTTCTAGAGGGTTGTTCGACCAGTCGTACTTTCTAGTTTTGGGATCATCAATAAAAACTGGTTCAAATAGCAAATGACTTACCGGGTACCGTCCATTGCTGATAGACATGCTGTGGACTTGAGAGGCACTTCGTTTAAACATGAGACAAGGGAGTTCGAAGGAAAGATGAGTGAAGAAAGAAGGTGAATGGAAGAGGAAATTGGTCAAGAGCCGGACAACGTACCCGATACAAAGGTTGATGTAACAAAGGGATAAAGGGAATTCAGTCGTTTGAGCACATATAAAATGGTCTTTTTAGGCAGACTTCATACTTTCGTCTGGATCCTCCACTTTCTTCACCCACCGTCGACAGCGAAATGGGCATGCATCATGTTACGACCCCTGACAGACATGTAAGTACAAACATCATACAATAGAGTTCGAACACTGACCATTGCATAACCACGTAGACCAGCGTCAAGGGCATTCGCGCTCGATTGTATCCCGCCAACAGCTTGTCTCCCAAAACCGTCACAGCCCACCTTAGAGAAAATACTCGTCTACCCACCAAAGATCGATTTGTCTTTTCCGGAGATCTTCTTTCAGGCTCGAGACTTCAGCCTTACATCCATGACATCGTGGTGACTGTCCGTCATCGTGGTACATCCTTCAAATACTTGGTGTTCTTTAAGAGGCACAAGTTGCTTCCGCCGAACCAATGCATTCAGAACTTGCAAGGAGGACACATAAATGGCGATGTTCTACTAGTTGCTTGTGGTAAGAAGGTATCGGTTAGAAACTTGCGAAATCGATTGGAGGTGCGAGCGGCTGATAAAGCCATTAAAAGGTGAGTAGTTGATGATGACGGTCGAATATCAACTGGACTGATCGGCCTCATTAGACTTGCGGAAGCGCTGGATCCAATCGGAACCCGGCGTCGGTTCCCTTCCACCCTCTCCTTCGAATAATCGTGCATTCATCCCTTTAGTTTAATACTTTCAAAGATTTGTATACCCTTCACATAACTTGCATTTGCGTATACTTCGTATTCACACTCCATGTATTATTATCATACATACTGCGATCTTGAAAAGCTACTTACTATACGGTAACCATTTTACTACGAGGTGCTACTTATAATCTATGAGACATAATGTATTTTGTTATATTAGAAACAGCATACATATACTGGATCGCTGGATTTAGCGCTAGGACATTACGAGCAGTGTTTATTATGACAATCAAGGTGCTCCTGGGGTGTGTACAAAACACCAATGTCCCGACTTTTGCCTTCTAATACCATCGTCATCGACTTGAATGATAATCTATAGGCTCTATTACCAGTACAGAGCAATACATAGAAACATTAAGTACATTATCCTGAGCCTAGCTCGTGTCCATCGCCTGATCTTCGGGTGCATTAGGTTCATATCCGCTAAAGTCATACATCTCAATATTATAATCCGCAAGCTTGAGCTCCAACAAATCATGTGGCATAAGAGCAGACAAATATTCCTCACGATAGAAACATCGAGGAAGTCCAATAGGCGGAGCCCGGTGGTCGACTTTGTTGGTTCGTATTCGTGGAATGCGAGCGGCACCCGCTCGGTGGAAGAGTGATGTTTCCACCCCAGGAGCACTGTCCGCAATCTTGTACAGGTTCTCGATATTTGGTTCCCTCCAATAAAGCCTAGATACCTTTTTGACATTTTGTTTCATCATGACACCCTCGACCTCCAAATCAACTGTTCCATCTTCCTCTTCAGACTGACCCGCATCCTTGAGTGTCTCAGTAACCAAGAGAGCATGGGACCAGAACGCAACACCTGGTTGATCACCGCGCTTTCGGCATGCCTTAATCATGAGCGTTGCAACGTCTGAGCGAGAGGTCCGTTTCTAAGAACCGTTATCAGTAATATCAACAAAATCGTAAAAACCACGTACTGCATGACGAAGGCTGACTTTGGCGTTGCGTGCTTTACGGTCATTGTCAGCCAGAACAAGGCGCAAAACACGAGATTCATGAGTTTCTCCTGGCAGAAGTCGAGCTTTTATAACCTGCTTGAAGATATCATAGAATCGATCCGAAAATAGGTCAACCCAATCGATAGCCTCTGGCCCAAACCGGTTGTCTTTACAGTTCATAACAATTTCTTCTGCCTTGGCTGCGAATTTGTGAATCAATGCACGATTCCAGGGAGACTTCTTCATCGTCTTTGTGTCGGGTGCAAATTTATCTATGCGGGTGTTGCGTAGCTTGGGCCCGTACTTGACAGGATCCCTGATGTGTAGTTCCTGCCTTTCCTGAGAAATTCCATCTCTAGCAAATATGGCCCAGATCCGCCGAACATTGAAGCCTTCATACAACAGGTCTCGGGCAAGCATCTAGTGGAGGCATTAATTATAAATTGCTTGAGGTTTGTGTAGATCTTACATTGACATGGACTTTCACTTTCGCTGGATCGTATTCCACGAAACCCTTCTTCTCCCACAAATCCTGAACCCTGCTCTCATCTGTCTCATGTGCATCTTCCTTATCTAGAGGATACCCCTGTTCCTCGTCCGATTTACCGTTGTCGTCCCCATCGTCGATGTTCATCTCGTTGGGTTGGGTTGTATTTCTGCTTCCGGAGGGTGTTGGCGTATCGCTTGGTTTGTCTGTATGAGCGGACTAGATACACAGGTCATGGTTGAAGGCAAGGCTTGATATAACAGTCCACATACAGAGCCCGAAGAGAATTCCCTTTGTTTGCCTTTGTCAGCGGACTAGAGAGGTACCAATTGTAAGGACATAATTTTGCAGTAGAAATCCACTGACCGAGCTTGAGCTTTCGGAAAAGACATTCGGCTGTTGCTCGTCGTTAGCATCCTCATCGAATTCATCATCAAGATAGGAGGTTCGTCGTCGTTCACTGCGCTTCTGAAAGGTTGTATTTGTCAACCTTTAACTTTAAACAGGAAAAGTTGCAGATGAACCTACCGACTTGAGGTAAGGTGATGGTCTAGGGTTCTGCCAGGGCTTCTTTTGCGGACTAGCATTTTTGGTGAGCAGAGTCATTTTCTTGGCAAAATATCAGAGAGGTTTTTCGCAGACAGTCCAATCAGCAATTACCGAAGATTTAGGCAGTGCCCAACGTGGATAGTCACTGTGAATTCGATGCAGTTCGGCTTGTACCGGGGCATTTGCTAATGTTCTTCCTAGTCCACCTAAAGCGCGAATATCATGTATGATGGTTCCGTTCATTGGTTCCGCTCTTGGAATTGCGGAGCTGTGAGAGGGGGTTGATATACGGACAATTGGCACTGGAGGAGGAACCGTAGTTGCGTGATGACTTGATACACCAGTCGGAGATGCCGAACTTGATCCAGGAGAGAATAGGCGCTGGCCACCTGAGACTAATGACTAGGGTATTGTTCAATTGTTTCAGAGGTATACAATAAAGAGCGTAACGACACACCTGCAGCTCTCGTTGGAGCTTTCGAATCTCAAGACTCTTTGCCAGATTATCTTGTTGAAGAACAGTAACTTCGTCCGGCAATGTAGTAACCATGGTTGCCTTGTAATGGCTCGTCAGTACTAAACAGACATGGACAACATTCTCAAGAATACCTGCGCACTGTTCACCTCCAAGTTCTCAATCATAGCTTGTAGACGAGCATTTTTCGTGTTCAGACTTTCGACGTTTTGATCTTTTGCAGCAATCTGATCGCGCAGATTTTTTGATTCCGCTATGACCTCGGTCCTCTGTTGTAGTGCAGCTTCAAGTTGTCCTTGCACTTTTTGATGCGCTAACTGAAAATAAATGACTGTTTCAACTATTTGGTATGGCAATGGTATCTGATAACACACCTTTGCTTTATCCAACTGGCCAGTCAGAATATCGAAGCGGGGCTGCGGGAGAAAGAGTAAGACGATACCAACATCTAATGGGCAAGTGCATACCCTCGGGATCCAGAAATCTTCATTATGCTTTTCCTTATTCTAAACAGGATTCTCGATATATCAGGGTGAAAGCAATGATGATTTTATTCTCACCTTGAGGCTTTGAAGTTCGAGATTATGCTGCTCCACCTGTTGGACCAATATCGCCTTCTCGTCGATGTATTGTTGGATTTTCTGAGCACCTGCGGCCTGGTCCTCCACCATCTTTGCCTCGAGATCTTGTATCTTCTGCCTGGCCGCTGCGGACTCATCGACCAACTTTGCCTTGTCATGGTCAATATCTTGGATCCTTTGATTAGTTGCAACCGCATCATCCTTCGATTTTCTCTCCAGTTCCTGTATCTTCTGTTTGGCTGTTACTGCCGCTTCACCTAGTTCCTGTATCTTCCGACTGGCCACCGCTGCCGCGTCGCCTGATTGTTGGACAAGTTCTGCTTTCTCGTCGACAAGGTTTTGAATCGTTTGGCTAGTCTTTGTTGCATCGTTCATCAGTTTTGTTTCAAGCTCCTGTATTTTCCCATGGGCCACCGTTGCAGCCTCCCCCAATCGTCGGACGAGTTCCGTTTTTTCATCGACAAGACCTTGCAGTGTTTGAGTAGCTGCGGCCACGTCGTTGGTCAACTTTGCCTCAAGCTCCTGTATCTTCCGACCAGTCACCAACGCCGTCACCTCTGACTGTCGGACCACCTCAGCTTTCCCATCGACCAGGGCTTGGATCAGTCCTTTGGTCGCTGCCGTGTCAGTTGCTAGCTTTTCTTCAAGATCCTTAATCTTTCGATGCGCCACGGCCGCCATATCCTTTGACTGCCGCTCTAGCTCCGCCTTTCCATCGACGAGACTCTGAATCGCTTGATTAGCTGCAGTTGCATCGTTCATCGATCTGGTCTCGAGCTCCTCGATGGTCTGCCTCAATACTGCTGCCGCCTCCTCGGAGTTTCGGACCAACTCTGCTTTTCCGTCAACAAGAACTTGAATCGTTCGACTGGATGATATTGTATCGTTCACCGATTTTTCCTCAAGCTCCTGGACCTTCTGATTGAGTTCAGCATTGTCCATGCAAGCTTTCTGTAACTGGCGAGTCAAATCCTCGCGATCCATTTGAGAAGAATGCTTCTCCGATTGCTAGAAGATATATGGTCATATACAATAGCTGACACGAAACGATTATATTCATTACCTGACAGGCATCGTTCTGTTTACAGACATCTTGAAGTTCTTGAATCTTCTTTGCTTGACTTTCGTTCTCATTGTTGAGGTTTGCAATGGAGGACTATCATATATAAGTATAAAAATCGCAATGAGCAAAAGCTTCACTAGTACCTTCAAAGCCTCGTGATCCTCCTTTAGAATATTGAAATCATTCTCTAGCTGTTGATTATCTTCCTCGACGGTGTTTCTTTCCCTCTCGGCTTCAGAAAGCTTCGATTGTGCGTTGGAAGCATTGGTGCTCAGCTTGCGATTATCCTCCATCAACGTTTTGATCTTTTCCGATGCCCTCGAAAGCTTCTCGCCTACATCTGTGTTCTGCTGCGTCAAGGTTCGTATATCGTCGCGTAATTGAGTGGTTTCAGTTCGAAGACCCGACAAGTCACTCTATATTTATATCATAAGCAGAAATATTGTTATAATCGCAATGGTGTATGACTTACACCCGAAGTTTCTAAGGATTCTTGGAGGGCTTGCTTGTCAGCCTGCGAGATTTCTTGTAAGCATTATCATGTTATACCCAAAGATATATGTGATATACCAGCACAACTTGAATCGAACTTTCCAAATCTTTGCAATTACTAAGACTAACATCCAGAGACGCCTTGCATGGACTTCAGCTAAAAATCTACACATCGGAACGTCAAATTACCTTCAGCTGAGTGATATCTTCATTCTTCAATTTGTGCGTTAGATTTTTGAGAGTTTCCTTGGTGTTCTTAGTGACAGTGTTAGTTAAAGAGGCACATAACCTCGCAACGTAACATAAAATATCATACCTGCAAATCCGTATTTGCGGTCGAAAGTACGGTGTTGGATTGCACTAAGGCTTCCATCTGCAGCTTGAGATTATGACATTCCAGCTATGGAAAGTTGAGCTTCTGCGATAATTTGAGCGGCCCTCGATCTACCTCTAGAGTTTCAACATTCGAAGTCTGTTTGAGTTCAAAATTTCAGGAGCTGTAGACTTTTTCAGAGAGGATACCGAAAATTACCTGAGAAGAGTTTCGTATCTTCTCAAGCTCAGTCTTCTGAGTAGACAAATGTTCTTGCAAATCTTCTATCTTATGGTCCTTGTCGAAAACACGATTGATCAACTCAATATTCTTCTGCAAAAGCTACGACCCAATGTACTAATCAGCCAGGTGTCACGAAAGATATAGCACAGTCCGAACCTCCTTATATTGGCTGTCCAAATCTTTCGCCTTCGCCCATACTCCTTCATTCTGCACTTCAAATTGCTTCTGAGCATCATCGTAATCTGCTCGTATATCCATGAGTTCTAATTCCAGAGCTGCGACAGCAGTTTCCTTTGATTCAACTTTTGAAGCAAGTGACTGTATCTCCCGATTCCTGGAGCTGATTGTGTTCTCTAAATCATGGATCCTCTGTCTATACTGAGGATCCATTTCAAAGGTAGACAAGAATCGTATCTTTTCTCCTCTCGAGGTAGTTCCCTGAAAAGTCCATCTCTTGGCAAGTTTGCGGGTGATAAACAAAGGAAACACACGTCGATTTCAGGCTCCTATTATTGACTAGTGGTTTAATATGTTTTGCATGTCAGGAACAAGACCACTTACATCGATACGCATTGACGATCCACCGGTAATTGTTGAACTTGATCCATGCATCAAGACATCGGACTATGGTAGGAATTTCAGATCCAAAGACTAGAGAGCAAGAATATAGATACGCACAGTGCTAGTGCTCTGCAACGTGTCAATATCCATCATGCTGGTAGGATGGCGCCGTTTCTTACGATGACTCTGAGAACTTGGCCCGTCCATTGTTTTCGAAGATGAATATGAAAGCAGGAACCAGGCAGGAACCGTCGACACTGGCGTCGAATCAGTCCCACGCTTGTCCCGGGCCGATCTGCCAGCTAGAGTATGCTGAAGTCACTGCTCCTGGTACCGTCTTCCTTGAACTTTCAATATGGTATTAAGGTAAAATCAACTACTCGTACGCTGTAGATAACATTGCCCATCGCCGGCTTTATGGAATAAAATCTGCCGAAGGTTACCTGAGAGTCAGTGCCGACCCCTCAGCTTCCGTCTACAGGGTTTCCATCGGGTAGACATCGTCCGCTCTTCGCCCAATTTGTTTCTTGGCCGGGAAAGTAGATTAATAACAAAGGTAAAAGCAAATGGATTCTAGTATATTTCTGACCCGGAAAAGGCAATGTTGTTTGAAAGGGAAATGGTCCGGGAAGGGAGAACAATCCCAGTTCCTTTCTCCCTTTGGATAAAAGGTGGAAAATGAGACGTTTCTTCGTCGTAAAAGGGAATTAATCCCACTATCAATCTCAGGGAGGATATTTACTGGGAAAGGAAATAATTCGCAGTGTATTTCTGCCTCGATATTTATGTACTTTTTTAGGTAGAAAAGATACCGAGAAAGGAAAGTTTTCCCATAAAAAATTTCAGCCACTTTCTCAGCAGGGATTTATCGCCCCCGACGCAGATAGATAGATAGATAGATACGCGGCTCCGTCTAAGACGGGGTCCCACTAGGGAACAGCCGGGCCCAACCATCTCAGTTACAGCGAATGCTCATCCAACGAGGGACGGTAGACTGCAGTGAGAATGGAGGGGGTAAAATACATATTACGGTACCTAAGACGTAGTGGTACCGGAGAGGGAAATTATTCAAAATCGGAGTCTTCACTTTCACTTTCTCCGACCTGTTCTGAATCAGTTCCCGTGTCTAAGAAGGACTGCCAGCGGTCAATGACGTTGTGGATAAATTTTGCACTCGCAGTAATCAGGGACCAGTCAAAGATGAACGATTTGAGGTAGTGAAGGGCGGTCGGGTCGGAAAAGAATGCATCGAAGGGGACAGGTCGGAACTGACGGATGTAGGTAATGAAGTCAGTGCGTAAAGAACATATGCTGGTCAGAGATGGGCACTGAAGCAGGATGTGTTGAGGGGTCTCGGGGTGACGGTTGCAAGCGCGGCAGAGACGGTCGCGGTGTTCCGTCGCAGTCAGTTGGCGGAGGGGGGAGGGAGATGCGTGAAATACATGGGGGATAAAGTCACCGCAGAGTAGCTTGGTGACGGTGCGGCGATGAGAGTGGTTCGGAATTTGGGTGAGGTAATGTCGAAGTCCAATCAACTGAGGTTTCGCTGGGCCTTCTTCCTTTGGTTCTAGGCGGTGACGTAGGAGAGAAAGTTTAGACCACGTGTCTATGTGGGACTGTAGGTTGGTTTTGGTGGAGAATTCAATCGCCTTGATCAGTTTGTCTATGAGGGCTCCATCGAGGCCACGGAGGTCAGGCAGACGGTGATTACCTGGCAGTTGGTTGATGGCGTAGTCAAGATCGGTGAGCCAGCAGGGGCAGAGTGAGTTACGGAGGTTAACATTCTCGGCTAGAGCAAGTGAGGCATAGTGAGTGTTGGGCAGTTCAATGAGATATTTGAGGTAGCGGAGGGTGAGGGATACACGGCGGGTGCGGATCGGCATGATGCCAGTCTCTGTGTATAGAGGGGTGATTACTGAGTTGGTGGAAAGGCCCAGCATGCGGCGCAGGAAGCGTAATTGAACGTCTTCCAGGATCCGAAGGAGACTGGGATCGGAGTCAGGCATGATTTCGCAGCCGTTGGTGAGGTGACAGTCCACTAAAGCGGTGTAGAGTTGTTTCGTGATGGAGGGAGGCATGCGACGGTTCCCAACCAGGAGGTCACAACCAGTGATTGCACGTGCCGTACCAACAGCACAGTTGCGTTTCTCGGTGTAGTGCGAGGCAAAGATGTTACGGTGGGTTGATTGGAAGAAGACGCCGACATATCGGACGACGTCCCGGAATTTGAGAGTCTCACCCGAGAGGGTGAAGTGGGGGAGGGTATCAGGGAGGGGACCGAACACCATCACCCAGGATTTGTCGGCACTGATCTGCAGGGCGTTATCTCGACACCAGCTGAAAAATGTATTGAGATGTTGTTGAAGGCCCAAGGGGCCCCGAGAAATGAGAACTATATCATCTGCGTGCTCGAGATGAGATATTGCTATAGTAAGTAGCTCCATATCCTCGGGGTCCAGGGCAAGATGGAAGGTCGAAAGGAAGATATTCCAAAGTGTGGGAGAGGAGGGATCGCCCATGAGGACACCGCTAAATGCGTGGAACTTTTCGGAGAGTTGACCGTTATGGGAGATAGTGTAAGACATCTGGCTGTATAGCGACCGAAGCCAGTCGAAGTACTTTCCCGTGAGGCCAGCATCTGAAAGTTTGTTCCATAAAGAGCTTTGGTTAGTGGAGGGGAACGCATTCGAAATGTCAACAAAGGCAGCGTAGATGGTTTCCTTTCGGGAGCGAGCTTTGTCAATGATAGTGCGAAGGATGAAGGCGTTGTTATTGGTGCGAAACCCCTCACGGAAGCCGTTTTGAGAGGGCGGGATGGTGTTGGATTGTTGTAGGGCCAGACATAATTTGTGGTGGACCAGTAGTGAGGCAAATTTGAGCACGCAGCTCTCGAGGGCGATGGCGCGGTAGCTGGAAGTTTTGGTTGAGTCTTTGCCAGGTTTGGCGAGGGCAATGATAGTCGAGGTGAGCCATGAGGACGGTATGTCCCTGCATTCGATGGCACGTTGAAACAGAGGCAGGAGCTGTTTGTTGTCGATGTCTAAGAGGAGGTCATAAGTGGCCAAGTCGACGCCAGTGGAGTTTGAGTGGGTGGTTCGTTTGAGGTAAGCCTTAACGGTGGAGATGTCATCAAGAGATAAAGGTTCATTGAAGGCAGGATGAGAGGCAGGTGGTGACGGCGATGGGATAGCGTTGGCACGAGCGTCCTCCGCAACAATGCGAGCAGGGTCGAAGGAGGAAAGTAGGGGGTCAGGGGGGTTCATACGGGGGATGAAGGTGTCTGTGAGCTGTTGTAGGGAGACTCTGGAGACGGGCGGGTGTGCACGGCGGATATCCTTGTAATAGCGCCAGAAAGTTGAGCTACCAGCGGAAGCAGCAGCCGACAGTCTGGTGCGGATTAGGTCCTGATGCGCGCGTTTATGGTAACGCCCTCGATGTGAGGATGGGAGATGAGGGGAAGGGCTGGGTATGTGAGAAGCAGGTTGGGGGGGTAGTTCTGGTAGGGAGGTGGAGATCTTAGGGATGGTGGAGAGCATAGCAGGTGTGAAGATGGGTGGAGCACGGGAGGACAAGAAATGTAGGGGAGAGGAAGGTGGGGGTAATGGGAGAGTAGACCCCAGTTTCGCCAATGTATCGGCGGCGTCGTTGTGTGCGTTATTTGAGTGAGCACGGACATGGTGGAACACAATTGTTGATTCCCTGGAGGCAATCCATAGTGCGATAGCGCGCAGAATGTCGCCGTTAGCGCAGGTCCAGTTGGATTGTGCTTCCTTTGGAGCGCGGTATACGATGGAGCGAATGGTGTATTCGGAGTCGGAGTAGATTTCAATGCGACGTTTCGAGTGGGACTTCTGGATGGCAATGAGTACTGCCAGAAGTTCGCCACGGTTGTTTGTTTGGGTTCCGGTAACACGTGCGGCAGTATTGAGCGGATGCGAAGAATTGCCAAAGAATACGCCAGAGCCAGCGGAGGCGTTCGGTTGGCCCACATTTGTACAGGATCCGTCAGTGTAGATTTTGAGGGGAGGCAGTGGGACCAATGTTGATGATGCATGGCCATATAGTGTGAGTAATTGTGAGGTGAGAGAAGGGGGTTCGGAGTGGAGAATACTGTCCTGAAAAAAGTCAGTCTCAGTGAGTAACGGAGTGTGAACAGTGGATCTGCGAAAGGGAGGTTTGAGAGAAGTACTGCGAGCGGGTGTGCCAGGAGCGATCATGGTAACCGTGATAGGAGAGTGGTCCGACCAGTCAGTTTCGGGGCTCACATTTAAGTCGGTCACGAAGGGAAACAGAAAAGGAGTGATTATAAAGTAATCTATTACAGTTTTTAAGGTAATCGAGTGACCCTGGGCATCACGGCGACGTTGGAAGGATGTTGGGGAGGAATGTGAGCCAGGCAGAGAGGAGGAGCCATTGAGAATGGTTAGTAGGTGGTCGTTGCAGAGATCAAGCAGGAGTCTGCCTCGTGTTGATACGGTAAGGTCGGAAGATACGCGGTCAGGATGGCCGGCGTGAGGTAATAGGTTACCAATACGAGCATTGATGTCACCGCCGGTAACCGAGGGCATGTCGAGCTGCATGAGGAGGTGGGTATTTTCGACGAAGGCATCCCAGGGGTTAATGTCGGACCAGTCCTGCCAGTTAGTGCGAGAGGACTCGGGAGGGATATAAACATTACGAATCAGGGAGCCGTTGACCTCGACCACTAGTAAGTCAGGGCTGGAGAGGTCCTGGCGTAGGAGGCAGTCGAGATTATCACGCACAAGAGTGGCGACACCACCCCAGGGGTTCTCTATGTCATTATCCAGTCGACGGCGGTTACGGACGAAGGAAATGAAGCCAGGAGGGGTCTTCATGGATGATTCTGATTGAAGCCGCATTTCTTGTAGAAGGATGATGTCGGCAGATTGTAGAACGTTGAGGAAATCGGAGGAAAGGAAATTAAGCAGATAGCGGCCATTTATGTTCCAGCTCATGATTTTGAGAGAACAGTGATGTATATTCAAAGGGGGTGCAGCATTAGGAGTACAGAGTTTATGAGAAGATGTATGTAAAAGTACAGGGGGGGAGGAGTGGGAAGTGGGTAGCAGAGGGCAAGGGATGGGAAGAGGTACGCTCGAACTAATTAATGGTGTCCTCTTCTGAAGTAAACGTCAGTAAACTGAACTTCGGGTCATGGAGACATCGAAGATCTCCGGTATGTTGGGTTGGTGGGTCTTCCAGGATCGCATAAAGGTGTTGAGCGATGACTCTGTGAAAGACAGACGGACCACGTACGAGCCACAGTCTGTTGGCTCAAGATGTTCTGCAAAATCTGGAACAGGGAGGGAAGCACCCCGCGCTTCGAAGAAGGCACGCCAACGATTAATCGCAGCGATAATCGAAAAAGAGGAGGTGGGAAGAGACCAGCGAGCTGGGGCTACCATGATAGCCGATGGAGAGTGACCTAGTTGGTGAGGTGTGACTATTCGCGGACGCTTTGAGGCACGCAGGGCAATGTCATGATCCAGAGGAGGGCGTTTCAGAGGGGCAGTAGCTCCATGAGACGGGGCATCCGTGATGCGAGACAGAAGGTCGCGGAACGTTAGAGGAAGAGGAACATCAGGGGATGAGGAGAGGATCTGTGGAATAGGAGTGGGAGAGGGAAGGCGAGGTGGTTCGGCAAGAGGCTGTGGGATGGGAGAGGGACGACGAGGTGGTTGGGGGAGAGCCTCAGGTTTGAGATTGGACCTGTTGATGAAGTTGGTGAAGTCCGACTGGAGCTTGTTCAGGGCCGTTGGAAGCTGGTTTGACACCGATTGGTCTTCGGTAAGGAGCTGGTGAATGCGAATAAAGTTTCGTTCGATCCGGATGTCTCGTTCGCCTGCTTTTTCTTTGGGAGGACGTTTGTCTAAGTTGAAGTTGGCAGGGTAGAGTAGATCTGGGAAGGAGGACTCCTTCTGAACAGTTGCAGGTACCTTTTTCTTCCCTTTCTGAGCTGAGGTGAAGCGACCGTCATGACCTGCGGGTCGTACCGGCAAGTTGGGAGAGTGCTTAGAGGACAACCGACCGCAAGGGCTGGGTTTTGACACCACAAGGCCACCTGCTTCTGCGAAGCTGTCGCGGGATTGAGAGGTGAACGGTCGGGAGGAAGAGGGGTTTAGGAGCGGGAGGGCCGGAGAACGTAAGGCGTTGTGGAAGTGGATCGCGCCATTGGAGTCGTTGCGACGGACGATTGCAGGCGAGGGAGTAGAGGTGGCACGGGACCGGATGGCAGATTTGAGCTGTCGCTCGCGGCTGACATTGGTTTCGAGGTGGTGGGCAGCAGGGGGGGAGGCCAGAGCTGGGGAGTCATCCACACTGACATCGACTAGGTATTCGGTGCCGCCTTGGTTGGGCGTGGTGTCATCGTGAGTATAGGACTCCTCAGCGACTGGTTCCGGTGTGCTCGAGGGCGAGCCAAGGCTGACCCCGTCAGCGTCTTCCATGTCCACAGAGTCGACCTGATAGAAGGGGGCTAGGGGGTCCTCGGGCCAGCTGTCATTGTGCATGGTCAAGATATGTGGTGAAGAGATAGTGGGTAGTCGCAAATGTTGTCTGGAGGTGGGAGAATTTGCTATGTTGAGTGGGGACGAAGAAGATGTTTGGGTTAAGGGGGCGCAGGAAAAGGGGCCTAGTCGAGGGCTTGAGCCTTGGTCGTACAGCCGAAGGTTTGGTCGTGCAGCCAAGGGCGTGGTGATGTGTCCAGGCTCGTACCGTGTGGTAGACGACTTCAACGTAGGAAAATGGGAGAGTGTGGTCTAAGATCTAGTCGAGGGCGACCAAAAAAAACGTTAAGCGCCCGAGAGATGATGGTGGTAATGTTCTCAATCCAGTGTATCACGTTTGCAGCACATGATTCTTGGATCTTCTTAGGTGAGAAAACGGATCGATCCCCGCGTGGGATTTTATTTCATTCTATTTCATTTTTCACGCTACTGACTAGGTTTATTGAATACACGGTAAAAAATTGAAATTAAGCAAAATTCATTGTGCCCTGCAGGAGTCCGCTAGTGAAGACAGATGTATATACCTTAAAAGTGGTAAATTGGAATCAGTGTGTACAAGACCTCCTACAATATCGGCAGGTATCATATTCATCATTATCTGGCAGCATAATCTGACTCCTTGGTGTTCTCATGAGGTCAGTGTCTGCAATGAGATACCTAAGGATTGTAGCATATGTGAGGTTGGTCGACCATTTCCCCCAACGAAGGATTTTTGAAAGCTTGAAACCTTTATCCTCATGTAGAAATTGTGTACCTCCTCTTCGGAATGCATGGACGGTGTATAACATCGGAGGTTCACCAATGTCGGCAAGCGACTTCCGAAAATTCTTCAGAAAGTTCCGCGTCGACTAAGAAATCATCAGCATGTATGTAACGGAATAATTCAACTTTACCAAGTGTTTACTCGAGCTTTGCAATTGGTCATATCCGTATATCCTCGGGAAAAGATAACCGTTTCGGATACCAGACATGCGCAGCCAAGCTCGGATACCTCTGACGATGCAAAAGTCAATGAGATCGTGCCTCTTCTCGGCATAGAAATCAAAGGGTTCAACATCTAAGTGGAAAGGATGATGTGGATATTCCAAGGAAAAGACATGCACTCACCTCCCGCTTGCTGAGTCTTTGAAGCCCAAGGCTTTATGCCGATGTGTGTGTCATTGCCGGAGAGAGGAAGTGTAGTAAGGTTGTTAACAGTCAAGTTTACAACATCACAGGAACGGAGAAGACATCGGAAAGCTATAAGACTGATCAACCAAGTCGAAAATCTTTTTAGGCGACCCCCCCAATCCTTAGGATCACGATGATTCATATGAGGCGGATCGTTCTGGTGCTCTTTGAGCCAAGAGAGCATCGAGTCATGCATTCTCTTCATGATTGATGCATTTGCAGCTCTGGAGCTGGTCGCGCACTCACCGTCCCTGGTCTAACACCAATTGAGTGGTATTAATATTACATGTGAAGCAACATTTGAAATTGCGAACCTTTCGTATATGAAGCCCCCAAGTATCGAGACAATCGAACACACTGAGCTGGATTCCCGCACCATTTTTTTGTCGAAGAGTTATAGGACCACGTGGGTGTTCGACGGGTGTCTCGAGCAAAGCCATAGTTCACTGCGGCACGCATCTGACTAGCCGAAGCATAAGCTCGTGGTTTGCGGGTAGGATCACTGGATTTGGCGATGTAGAATGGATCGCATCTGTATATATTTCATTCGGAATGCGTATTGATATGTCAGATGTTGGAAATACGCACGAGCTGCCGATCCAAGTTCTTATCCAAACCGCCGTGTCTTGTGGCACCTCTTCTAACTCAAAAATGCTTTTCTGATTCTTGTACAGGTTATTAATTCTGAGGTAATTTTCGAAACGTTTCATTTTCCTGTCATTTGTTGATCAGATATGTTTCATGAAAGAAAGGCAAGCATGGTCGTATCGAGGAAAATGCTCATCCAGGATCTGAATGCATAGTTTGAGAACAAAGGTAAGCACCTTCGATATGAACTCCGCGTGCTTGGACTTAGTTCGTCAATTAAATGTTCTCCATCATCGATGTCGTAGCCATCGGAGTCCTCTCCATCGTTCCCATGGCCATCGTCCGAATCTAAATCTGAGTCGTCTGCTTCTGCGACCTGTATGATCCTCTCCTTCTTTATCTCTTTCTTGATGTCTTTGAGATTTTCGCCAATCTCCTTCAGTTCTTCGTCATTTCCATGCGGGTTGGATGACTTAGTTGTAATTTCGAGTTCGTCCACATATCGGATGACCTCCTCCACCGCGACATCCCCGTTGATCCCATCGATTACCCCTTCTTCCTCATCTTCATCATAATCGTCTTCCTCGTCATTGCCATCGTCTTCCTCGTCATTGCCATCGTCTTCCTCGTCGTTGCCATACAAATCTTCCTCTTCATCAACTATTAGGTTGTGCTACAGATATATGAGCACACAAACCCAGCATATCGAAAGTCAGCACAAACCTCGACATCTGAAACACAATTTGGTGCCCCCTCTCCTTGCTTCTGAAAAGTATGTTGAGCAATATGGTTTTTTACAAAGTTCAACACAGCTTACTCGTTTTTCACCTGTAGCGTGAGAGCCGAATTCCTCACTATCCCCATTACTCGGACACTCAGATTGTATACCCTAATTCCTTTGTTAATTAGTGCGAACATCATTGCCAATAATTGTGTATACCTGACAAGAGCAATGAAAAAGGATTTCTTGAAAGATAGCCATTCTTTCGAATCTTACTCTGCTCGAATCGACAAGTGGAAGGTCGAGGGCAAAGTTCGAAAGCGCATTGATTGCCAAAGGACCACATGAGTGGGAGTCCATTTGCGGTGCTATCTGGAACCTTTCCGTGATGAGAGGTTCTTGCGAATACATTGCAGCCCAAGCAAAGTAAGCTCGATGAATTTCCGTCGGGATCGTCGCTTCCGCATCAAGAGAATCTCCATAAAGAAGGAGGTTCTGCGTTCCATCCAATACCACAGGGACCCAGTGCGGTACGCCAGTCGAAGGTCCGAGATGGACAACGGTCAATAGCACTCTCCCGTCCCGAAATACCTGCTCCCCAATTCTCCTCAACCATCTAAATGTTCTATCATCGGGATCGCGGTATCGATGACCACCATCAACAATCAGCTCGGCCAATTTCTGGGTGAAATGGACCGGAAGGACAAGAAAATCTTTCAGGTTTCCAAGAGCGTCGATTTTCCACTGCATTGCGTGGAGCATTGCGTCAATGTCGGTGCCGGACGTCCAATTATTCCCGAGAACTCTCCACAACTCATGAACTGGGCGCATGTCCGCTTTTCGTAAGTATGGAACACTGTCCATCGCTGCCAGAAAAGATTCAATTTCTGTCTTGTCGTGGATAGTCTGCTGTTGGATGTTAAGCCACTCTTCGAGCCCAATCCAAGGGGCATGGTGCTTTCTGACAATAATAAATTGGTTCCAGAGGTCCACAACCCACATTGGGTAATTTGTACTCTCCCCAGGCAAATGTGCGTAGCGGATAGACCTAGCTCCTTGCGCCACCATGTCGGGAGCAATCGACCGTAACCTCGCAACAGTTTTCTCTGAAGGGATGGAGAACCTTTGTAGTCTCTGTCGGTGGAGGATGTCCACCATGATCGGCTGCTCCGAAGAAAAGAACCTGCGATCTTCGATGTTCCGCTCATCGCTAGAGAGGGAGGGGAATTTAAAACGAGCAAATTGTAACAGCGTAGTGTTCGCATTCGGGACAAGGTAGTTTCGTAAGGCATCTGGTATTACAAAGTTTCGCATACATCTTTTTTTTTCCGCTTTGCTCAGTTCTTCCCAAGTGGCAACCGAATGGGGTGCGGGATTGCGCATTTTTAGCATATGGATCGTCGTGGAAGTACGGAGGGGAGGAAAGAATCAACGTAACCTGAGCGCCAATACATGAGCCTGAAATTAAAGTTAAAGTTAAATAAATTGCCGCCCTGGGGGGACACACCTTACTTAGGTCTTTCTTTCCAAAGTTGTAGCGGGCCTTCGTTCTCATATGAGCACATGTAATGATTCATACATCCGAGACATTCGTCGACTTATAAGTTACCAATTACTACGAGGTCTGTGTGTTACTTGTTGAAAGTAATGTTATACGGGCAAGAACCGTAACTGTTGCAGCCGAACTCCTTCTTCCTCTTCGTTACTTTGGCAGGTGGACCATTCGCAGTCGTCCCTGGGCGTTTACCGTTGGCGTTCAAGCCAGGAATTCCGGTCACCTCTCACGTACATCGCATTAGCGTAAGGCGTGCCAAAAACCGATTACCCGTACATACCTTCCGCGCTGTGAGGTTCTGTGCCAAAAGTGAAGTCGGATGTGGCTGCAGGTATTTTCGAGTTGTTATCCAACGACTCCGTAGACGTACTATCCACCATCAATGCGCTCGTGGCAGAAGCTGCAACTCAGGTTAATACAAATGCCACTCGTTACTTGGTGGGACCAAACTCACTTGACCTTGGCGGGCGCACATCATTGAGATCACAATACGTCCTTCATCGATCACAGCACCTGCATCGTCGACGATATCACAACCTGTTCTAACCACAAACAAACTACACCTACTGTTTGTCGCAATTACACCGGCGTCGACGTCGAGTACCTGTCCGGGGTTAACATTTTCCATAATTGCCTTCTACATTATCGTCAGAGACAAGTCAGAAGGCAGATATCAAACACGAACCTCCGGCTAAAGTCATACCCAGCCGCTCGACATATCCATCCGAGTTATTAGGCGCCCCGCTATTGGCGAGCATGACATTGCCTGCACTGTTCGCAGGCTTAGCAGGCGCATACGATGCTGTTGACCTGCGACCACCAATGGTGATTGCAAAGCACGTGTACGAAGAGCGGCAATGTTAATGATTCTGTATATGAGAGGCAGGAAAGTCAGTATTGAACGCACAAAATGCATTAGAGGAAATTTTCACCAGATGAGTGTTGAAGGTACCGTCTAGTTCGTAGCTGGGGTTTTTCCTTTTTAGTACATCACGTGTAGCGCTTCAGTAGGTGTTTACTCGTCTCAAATACTCTCAGATATCGACGCTTTTGATTTGGAAATCGACCAGGCCTTCAACGGACGAACTAATATTTGTCCATCTTTGAGTGGAATTCAAGTCGATCAACAGAAGTGTATGTATGATGGCGAAAGATGCATCCATGCACATCGAAGCGATATGATATAACGACGCCTGCTATTACAAATACCTACAAGCGAATAAAATGTCGGAATTCGTTCTTGATCTGTGAGTGCTGTTCACCAAAAAAATCGAGATATCAGATGGTAATGAAGTACGACGATGTTCTTCGTGCTCTCGCGCGTCCTCGTCTACCGTGTCTGTCTTCCTATATCTTTCACATCCTCGCTACTCCTCTTTCTTCTCTACCTTCCTCGTCCTCCTGTTGCTCAAAATGCATCATGAAGCTGCGCCTGAGACGGCACGGTAGATGTACCCACAGCAGAAGTAGAGTTAATATACTACCTGAAGTTAGTCAAATGATATCAGTCGAATGCACAATGATCATACGCACGGTCGAGTGATACTTCCCCGCAGGTAGATTCTGTAGTTCATATGCTTCGCCTTCATCACCCATTGTGTGAGCCAATCCATTCAGATCCATGTTCAATTGATGTTTCGTCCTTGTAAGGGACACGCTTCGACATCGTTTCTGTTGACATTGAATCGTAAGCTTCGAGTTGTTCCAAAATTTGAACCGCGACCTTTACACCATCACGTATAGACGATTTCCCAGTAGCTTGCGGTCGAAATACAAGTGGCGACGTCCGACCAGGCTTCGTACCGGCATCGTTATCCGATTGACGAATCATTTCTCGAGCATTTAGAGTCGTGAGCAATGTTATCGCATGCACTGAAAGCAATATAGGATGTTAAACTGTACACAAGATAAATCACAACATACAACGACCGATAGAAAAAAAGAACGCGACATATATCAGGGTATCTGGAGCGGCCAAAATCTGGAACGCTGTTAGTTTTCACATCGGAAATTATATAGATTTGACCCACAGAGACAAGAGAAGATATTGAGCATAAACTGGGGAGCAACAGGGAGCAACGTATGAATATACTGATGTTGTATGATTGGTTCGCAAGGAGTACGAACGTGGTGATACATCCAGTATTTATGGCAAGTAACATCTGCAGGTACCGTGCCATCACATAATTAACTTCGATACTGTCTGAATTGAACAGCATAATACTGACCAGTTTGTTGAGCATAGTGTCCATTCTTCAGATGTTTTACTATCGAAGTTTACACAAAATCGTAATTGCATACCTCGGAAATCCATTCTTGAATTTCTGGAAATAGAGCGAAAATACGACCGCAATCGCGACGTTGGTTGTAGCTGATATGGCATTCACCACAACCGCAAATGTCTATCGATATATCATAGTTCAAGAAGATCAGTACGTTGCGCCGAATTTGTAAACACTCGTACTTTGAGATAAGCTCTTAGTTCAAACAACGGCCTGGATGGTATCAATCTGGTGAATGCATCAGTACCACGAAACAAATCTCACCGCCGAAGATACGTACGCAATTGCTACAAATGCTATGCAATTGTAAATCATCGTGGAAGAGACAGAGTATTTCTACCAGATTTCTATATGAGATAATTACCGATACTGCAGCCTACTTTGGCAAAGAAGTTCAATTGCATACTCAATATATGATAGGAAGTAAATGATCGCACCAAACTCTGCCAAGACAAACAACGTCTGTAGACTTCGTTACTTCGATTGAATATGACGGAAAATCAGATTTTGAGATATACCACTGTCGCTGTGCACAAGAAATTTCTATCGGTGACTGTACAGTTTCCGTAACGATTGAGAGATCGTGTTCCATAAAAGGAATCACTCACGTCGCCATATGCGCCAAGTCCAAAAGCTATCCAAAGACAACATTCATGAGACCGCATCAAGCAGTCTACAAATCCATGTACCTTTGAACACAAAACGCTATCGAGCCCTGTACATCCTAGTAAGATCTACGTCCGGGATGAACTGTGATGACGTACGTTGACCAGTACTTCGATCTTACAACGTCAAAGTTAATAAATTCTCTACAATATCTGATGATTGAAACTACCACCGAACTCCTAGAATGAAAGAATCACCTATCGCATCAATTACAACTCTCTTCGACTCATACAACGAACGCACCATGTCGTATATGGTAACATTACCGAACCGTTGAGTACCAGATTGTGAAACACTTGAAGAATGTCAATAACAGAATCAGTATCCGCAATGGTTTTCAATACCACTGTAGCTGATAAGCGTTTGATGAACGAAATTCAGCAATAATACCAGCACGACCTAGGAAAATTTTGAGCAAATTGAAAGTGACTTGATAGTCATTATGGTACATACCAGGCAGCGAACGATCCCGCTATCAGTCCGACCAACGAAGTATGCCAATGCTTGGAAGAAACACGCTACACTTTATGAAAAAAAAAATCCGTAGACGTTCTAGAAATCGATACAAACATCCTAACAAAAAACCAGCCATCGATAGACTGAACAAAGCTACTACAATGCTTGAAAAAGAGCTTTGGTATTAGTCAGACACATGGGAGATAACTGCTCACGTCTCTTTCGGCGTTGCCATCGTCGTCGCCTTCAAACGAATAAGACGAAAGGTCACAGGGATTGGAAAAGATTGTAAAGTGATGGAAGAAAAAAACAAGTAGGAAGACCGCCTCCTGTTAGGTGTACCAAACAAACCCACGATATCCCAAAAACGAACGGGTAAAAGAAGTTGCAGCAATATAATTCTAACTTCGTACATGTATATAATTGGTGTGGATCCAGTGCGGCGGCATACCTATATTGGGCTCCGACAACTGAAATTGCTCCGACAACTGAAATTCAGGTTGCTAAAATATAAGAACGTAGTGTGCACTGCTGATTTCAAGTCTACGTCGACCTTTCGTCATTAAGGAATGGTTCTCGATAATTCTTCTACTAATTCTACTCAACTGTTCATTCGGGCCACCAGTCCAGTGACTGAGACAATCGGAGATGGTCGTCCTTCAGCATTTCTTCCTGCTCTCTGCATTTTGAAATCATATCTTCCGCCTACGGAGCAACGGCAAGATTTTATGCAGCAATCGCACGATAACACCATCATTGACACCGCTTGCAACCACGAGAGAAACTTCAGCCCCGCTGGAGACACAAGTCACTCAGCTGGTGTCCTTCGATTACCGCGAATTTTGCCACTCGAAAAGCAGCTAGTCACTACATCTGCCGTCAAATTGGCTAGTGCGAGCAGGCGAAAGAAGGAAGCGAAGTTTTTTTGCCCAGTTCCAGGATGCGACACCACCTTTACGCGTCGAGATAATTTAAACGGCCAGTCCACTTTTTTTGATATTCGATTCGCTCGACACTGGTTCTAATCAATGCTGTTATACAGGTCATCTTCGATCACACACGAAAGAGCGGCCATTTGTTTGTCAATGGACAGGCTGCAATAAAACTTTTGCTCGAAAGCATGACTGCAAGTTTGTTATCCATGGCTACTATTTCTTCCTGCATCCTATTAACGGTACACTTTTAAGACGTCACCAAGCACTCCATACTGACGAACCTCAATCAAATATTTGCCACGGATGTAAGAAGACTTTTAGTAGGTCAGATGTACTAAAAGTTCGTGAATTCTGTGTCGTTCAAGCTAGCTTTCTAAATCTAATCTTCTCTCGTAGAAACATTGTAAGATTCATTCAACTTGACGTGTACCTCACTTGTGTTCACCAATGCTTTGTCTTTTGTAGTACGCTCTGACAATGCAACAGCCTGTTGCGCCAAATAGCTCGTCGAATATACTAGTGTCATTGGACAAAGTCAATGTAGTTTTTCACAGCTTATCACTTACACATTCCTCTTCAAACAGCTCGACACTTTGTCAAGTTTTGGCACAATTGAGTCGTACTTGCTTCGTAGCCTAACTGATGGTTTTATCTTTTTTTTGCTCTCTTGTTCTTTTGCTCAAAAATAACAAGCATATTCACTATTCAATTAAAAACCCTTGTCAGATGTATATATAACAATCATATGAAGTATTCAGACATCAATCTGAGGTGATCTTTATACAACGTTATACATAGAATGTCATAAACCTAGTCAGCTAAAATTGAAATTTGAATTGTCTTCCACATATGACATTTGCAAAGTTGATATGCATTCAAATAATTATAATCCTATAGGTCATTGAATAGGACAAATATTCAATGGAAGAGAATAATTGTAATCATTGTTAGAAATATCAGGAAACATTGTCAAAAGCAGTGGTAAGGTAGTCCTGGTCTTGTCTACAAATCAATGTTGCAGTGGTAAATAGGAATGGACGAGGATACGCACCACTGTCCTGTTTGATGTTTTGGCCTAAATGATTACACAATTGCTTGTAGCAGGGATCAACAGATATCTCATCTTCCATCAATTCTTGGTTTTTCAATTCATTCCAATGTAGTTTATATCTTTGATTCTATGCCAGTTTTGATTTATCTGACAAAATCAAGATGCAAGGGCCTCTTACATGAAACCAGTTCTAAGTACAAGGATTGTAAGACAATTCATATTGAACATATGGTTGAGCATACCTTAATTTTGAAAGTTGTCAATCCAGTACTGGTGGACAGTTGTACAACCATTTGTTCACTTGGGTGAATAGTTGTCATGCCCTGACCCTTTCACATACTGGGACCACCCTTTCTCCTGAGAAAACTCTCCTTCTCATCCTCCACATGCTACCTACTCAAACCAAAGCATCCATGACACCGGATACTTACCACCTTACAGGCTCAGGACCTCACCCAATGCAGTATGCCACTGTCACAAAGTGTCAAGTCCATGCCTTGGGGCCTCATTCCGCCGCTCGCCATCCCGAGATCTACCATTTATTGTAATCTCATCTTTATTGTTCTTTCTCGCTACACATTCCCTTTCAACTTAGCCTCTCCTTTATTTTTTTATCCTTTCCTCTATTGTCTTATTCCTTACCCTGCAGGTAGTACATGTATAGCCCCTAGTAGTTAGTCTGGTGCCCCGCACTGATACACCGATCCATAGATATAAATACTGCCTGTACGATACTGTAGTTCCTCAGTTTAATTATCAACTTAGATTATCCTCTTAACATCCTCGACTTGAGACTTCCCCTGTACTCTTGTCACTCTCTAGTCTTCAGGCTCATCGCCTTGAAGTACTTCTTACTCTAGCCTTAGGACTTATAAGTTCTTTGGTTTGCTCCTTGTCACCGGTGATACCGCTGCTCCAACTTGGCTGCTTCTGACTTTCTCCTTCTCTACTCTCGATCTCTGGTGACTAGCAGCGTAACGGCGGTGTTGTTAATAACTTCACTACTGTCCCATTCGAACCTCAGCCCTTAGACACCTTGTGGCCTGTGGCATGGTTACATGGTGTACATGATCTTAACACAAAGCGGCAGCAGCAGAGCAGTAATGCGGAGCGACTGAGCGGAGTGGTAATGTGGAGTGACTAAGCAGAGCAGAGCAGAGATGGACTGGTCCCAAGATAATGACAGAGATATATTGAGTATTGTAGTTATAGATAATAATAAGTAACACATACCTGGTCCCAAGATAATAACAGAGAGGTCAAGATAAGGCACCAGGCTGTGGAGGTTTGGCTATTTATACATAATCCGATCTGCAAGAAATGACAATGTAATACTGTACAGTTTAGGAACAAGGAAGGTGGCGGAAGTCAGTAGAAGGAGAAGGTGGGTCAGGTGGATCAGTAATCAATGGGATTTGATAGTGATGTAATCGTACAAGTAAAGGTGTCGAGGAGCAACGGGAACCACGACCAAGGACAGGAATGACTTAGTACAGTGATCTTGGAGTCCTTGATACACTTACGGTATTTTTTTTTCTCAGGACATATCCTTTCATCTTAAGTATCTCAAAACAATAAAGCATATATGATGTATGCTTGGCCAAAGTCCCTAAGTATTTCCAGTAATGGTTATAGAGATATGAATCAAATATATTGGATTTTAAGGCCCATCAGAGGTCGAAAACTTCTAACAAAGTAGCGAAAGATACAAACAGATAAATTACAATTTAAAACCATACTGCAGCATATACTTGAGCTTGTCCTCTATCACCTCCAATAATAATTTCCACTATACAGGTACAGATACAGTCAAAATGTGCAAAACAATTTTGCGTGACATGAAATAATAATGCATGTTGCGGTATGGAATGATTTAACTCTCTCACACTCATTGCACACCAAAACAAAGATTTCTGTGCGCGTGCGCACTTGTCAGAATGGTCGGGAAATCACAGTCCAATGATCTTACAGCCCAATTGAAACACAAAGACCATACGAAAAGACTTAACACAGCTCTTGTGCTCTATGAATCTCAGTCAGAACTGCCTGAAAATGAACACCTATCACTTCAAGCCATTGCAAAACAATTTTTGGTTGACAAAACGACCCTTCATCATGCAACACTCAAAGTAAATTAGACTATTCATGTCATAAAGTACGCAGCCCCTATCATTTTCCTTTTCTCACCATCTTGACGCCTTTACTTGTACGATACATCATCCCATCACTGTCAAACCCCCATCGATTACTGATTCACCTGACCCATCTTCTCCTTCTACTGGCTTCCGCCACCTTCCTTGTTCCTAAACTGTACAGTATTACATCGTTGTTTCTCGCAGACCGGATTATGTATATATAGCCAACCCTCCACAGCCTGGTCCCTTATCTTGACCTCTCTGTCATTATCTGGGACCAGTTCGCCTCCACTCCGCTTAGTCGCTCCGCCTCACTCACCCGCTTAGTCGCTCCGCCTTACTGCCTGGCTTAGTCACCCTGCTTCCTGCTCCGCTAGTCACTCCGCCTCTGCCGCTTCGTGACATTAGGTCAAGATCCATTACTGCACTGACAGCCTACCGATAAGGTTGTCCTTGCAGGATCCGTAGACACCACGTCTTCCCCAGTCCCGCCCGATTCTGAAACACCTGCTGCCAGTATAGACTGCTCCACACTCCCGCACGCACTTGACCCCAGAGACCAAGCTCACGCCCACAACAACAACGATACTTGGCGTGATTGCCAGTCTCAACCTTGCCCCAACGCCCTTTCGAACTCGATCCGAGAGCCACTCACTGTGAGCAATATAACCTTCCTGCCAATTCCCCAACCCCGATTGCCTACTCCCATCATGTCGACTCCTGTTCCGCCTGCCCCAAATACCTCTGCTGAGGATCTCATGGCTCAGCTCATCAGACAAGTAGCCAGCCTTGCTACAGCCATGGAGGAACGCTCATCCTCCAAGTCAAGCATGAACAAACCCGAGGTCTTCAAGGGTAAAGATGGTGCTGAAGCTCGTCGCTTCATGGCTCAGTTCCAAAATTGGGCGTCAGAACAACCGGATCTCGCCAAGAGCCAAGTTAAACTTATCAAGTCCGCCCTGGGCTTCTTCACAGAAAGTGCTGGAGATTGGGCAACTCCCCATCTGTTACACTTCAGTGCAGAGAATCCCCCTTTCGGAGGGAACTGGGATACGTTCTTGAAGGAATTTAGCCAGCGGTTTGAACCAATGGACCCAGGTATGGAAGCCCGTAGCGAGATCAAGAACCTCAGACAAAGTAAAGGGCAGACAGTTGCAGAATTTGCCCAGAAGTTCAAGGATATCGGAGATCGGACTGAAATGTCTGATATTGATTTACGGGAACGCTTCTTCACCGCCTTACTTCCGGAGATCCGACAACACCTTATCATCGTAAACATCGCCCAAGGAATCGCTCCGACTTTGAAAGAGGCAATCAAACGAGCCATATCGGTGGATGTCTACCTGCATGATCCCACCATGACCGGCCGAAACACCGGACACGCTCCCGCACACACCGCTCACATTACCCCTGCCGACCCTCACGCCATGGACATTGATGCTACTCATACCAGCACTGGGAATAGCAGGGAGGCCTTCCTTGCCCGTATGCGCGGACGATGTTTTGGTTGTGGAGCTCAAGGCCATGTTAAGCAGAATTGCCCACACAAGGAGACTACCTGCTGATACTGTGGACGCCGGGGACACCTAGAATCCGTCTGTCAGGACAAGTTCATGGGACTTAGTCGCGACCGTGGCCGACGCCAACAGCCTCGCCATCAGCAGATCTCAGCCACGGTGGCACCATTTACCTTATTCCCAAACGAATCAGTTCAGATTGCCGCCTCAATCCCAACACCTGTCGCTGGACCTGCTATACCGAGCCCCGCTAATCAGGACTTCTCCACCCAAATTGGACAAATAAGGGAATTGTTGGACCGTGCTAATGCCATGTCTCCTCCGTCCTCTGGTTTTCAGCAGGGTTTTTAAAGAGGGTACCCGCTCCGGCTGCAACGAGAGTACCCC